ATCTTATTGAATTTCTACATCTTCTTACAGGTTTAGTGGGATGAGTTACTTCACTACTGGCCTCTTATCATTGATCTCAAAGTCTAGCAACATCAAAATAAAGAGTTCATGGTTACTAAATTTTTCTAAAGCATAATTCTATAAGATGGTGGTGAGACCTGCAATGCTTTATGATGCCGAATGTTGGCTATTAAAAGAGAAGCATATTACTAAGTTAAGTGTTGTAGAGATGAGGGTGCTTAGGTGGATGAGTTGCTTTACCCTTAAAGATAGGATATGAAATGAGTATATATGTGAAAAGGTTGGAGTAGCTCCAATGAAAGATAAGATTAGAGGAGTCTCCTTAGATCGTTTGGTTACATTAAACGAAGGCCTTCCGATGACTCGGTTAGGGAAGTTGAGATATTAGATTTGACTTATGTTAAGAAAGGTAGAGGTAGGCCTAAAATGACTTGGTTAGAAAATATTAAAAATGATATTTCTTTATTAGATTTAAATGAGAATTTTACTTTTAACAGGACAAAATGACGAAAAAGGATTCATGTAGCCAATCCCACGTAGTAAGGCAAAGGCTTGATGTTGTTGTTGTTGTATTCCATCCTCCCTTCAACTAATGTAATCATAGTTGTTAATTGATTTCAATGTTGTGAATCTTGCAAATGCTCTCTTACATGTTCTTGGCATCATTGAACCATTGTCTCCTTCTCCACCATCATTTAATCAAATTGCCTTCTCTATTTGGCATCATGGTGATTGCGGTTATGGAGATCATACTATATTGGATGTAATCATGGTGGAGGGTTCTTAACTCCATGAAGATCATATTATATTAGATGTAATCCTGGTGGAGGGTTCTTAACTCCATATTCTCGTAGTGGTTATACCAATCCTTCTTTGGAGCATTGTTGGGCTATCCTCTTATACCAGCTTACCTTGGAAACATTTATTCCAAATTTCCAAGTAATGGTTCTTCCACTACTTTCAATCCTTCATGTATTGTCAAGGTTTATCACTAAGAATATGATTGAACCAAACATCTTTCAGAGCGATGTTCGGCTATATGTAGTAATCCTCTTATTGACTATATGCTTTGGGAACATCTTCCTTTTGGCTCTTCCACTACCACCGCCCATTTAAGTTTTGTCATGTTTTCTTAGGAGGAATATATGCTCACTTGATTTTGAACTCTCAAACCTTTTAGATTCAACCGAGCATCCATCAATCGATGAAACATCTGACCTACATCTTTATATTATCTTTGAAATAGTAAAAGGCAATTTATTGCTATTCTAGTCACTCCAATTTTTCATTTGGCCAACCATCCACTTTCTTTAATACTTTTGTTTTGTCACCATCTTTTGTATTTATTCCCAACATATATCAAGCAAGCTAGAGACATTGAAATGGATGCCCTTTTTAGACATCATAATTCGGATAAAGTTGTTCCCCTTATTAGGACCAAACCTATTGCTTTACGGTGCGTGTTCACTGTCAAATTTCATTGATTGATCGCTCAAAAGTTTTCCTGATCCATTGGTTTAATTATTTTAATACATTTTCTCCAATTGAATGCTGAAATTCCATGAAGATCTTTTTATTTGTGGCTGTCAATCAAAGATGGACAATGCTACAACTTATTGTCAATAATACTTTTCTGTATTGTGATTTACATGAAGATATTTTTATGAAGCAAACCCCCATGCATTTTTCTCAGGGCAGAAAACCGTATGCGCCTTCTTTGGAAATGTATCTTTGATCTTAAATAAAATACTCAAGGTTGGTTTGATAAATTGTGCTAAGTCCTAGCTTAAGATTGGTCTTTGAAGCAGCACTAAAAATCACTTTTCCTTCTTTATGCAAACTCCCATGAGATCCATCTTATTTATTGGTTATTTTGATGACATTTGACTTATTGGAAGTGATTATCATGGCATTTTTGAGGTAAACTATTATTTGCAAAACTGCTTTGTCATCAACGATCTAAGATTATCCAAGTACTTTCTTTGCATTAAATTCACCTATGATTAATAGACAATCTCTTTCTCAAAATAACTATACTACTCGGCCCATTAAATAAATGCTCTTTCTTGATTTTAAGCTTGTTGACTCGGTTATGAAGACTCAGATTACAAATAATGAAGAACTTTTTGATGATCCATCACAAAATCAAAAAGGTTAGAATGTTGATTCATCTAACATTAAGATGCATAATATTTTATTAAAGATAGCATCATGTTATTGGATTAATTAAAATGTGTATATTTAACCAAGTATAAAATGCTTGTTCCAGTGCGTGAAGCTTTAGTCATTACAGGATTGGAAGGGCAATTAAAAATACAGTTTTTGTAAACAAATTTACTCCAGTATTGGAGAGAGATTATTTCCATCACTCACTTTTAACCTTCAGCTTGCCATGGAGGTGTTAGGAAATACTTGAGAAATCCAAGTAATCCCTATCAAGAGCGAAGAAAACAGCAAACGAACAAGATTCGGATGGAAAAATTCAGCAAAAACAGCACCCTTTGATTGACGGAAATCAAATAAATGATGAAACAAACAAGATACAATAGATCCTCAATCGACAGGAGGATCTTTTCTCCCAATCCCTAAAAGAAATCTAGGGCCCAAGACTCCAAGACAAGAACTCTCAAAAACAGCCACCAAAATATCCATGACCCTAACCCTAAACAATTCTTGATATTTAATCCCTCCTTATCTAATTTCAAACTCCAGATTCAAACTTTTCCCTCCCACTCCTAGCCGCCCACCTCTTCTTCCCTAATTGGCTTGCCTAGTGGACCCACTAGGCTTGGGCGGCACCATCAAAGGGGTGGTTTGTCCGCCTACTGTAATAAAGAACCGGCCTTTGGGCCGGTTCAGGGAGAATCGGCCTAACAGGAGGCAGCGCAAAACAATAACTTTGGGATATGATGATGTATTTAGCTAAATTGTACTGAGAAAAAAAAAAAAAACAGTTTCTCCCGTTTTTCTTACCAGTCATCTTCTTTCTTCATGGTCACAGTGGTATTGCCATCACGACTATGTTATTTTTTTCAATCCATTATAATGAGGATCAATCTGTGTATACTGATGAAATTTAGCTCTTGATCCATTTCTTTCGGCAGGCTATGTCATTTAGCAGTCAGGAGGAGCAAAAGCGCATCATTGATCCCATAGTCATTGGAACTTCCTCGCAGGAATCTTTATCAAATGTGGTTTCCCTAACCAGCAAGTGCTTGTCTCTGGAATCTTCATTGAGGCCTTCCATTGAAGATGTTCTATGGAACTTGCAGTACGCTGCGCAGGTCCAGGCAACAGCTGATCGAGATCAGAGGTCAGATGTTGGCTCACAAACTTGATATGAGACCTCAAAATCTTGGTAAAGAAAAGAATATAATCTTTCACAGTCAGTATGCCCGCTACTGAACTGAGTGCAGGGGAGGGGACTAATTGGAGTTCAGTTTCAAAGGCTGTTAATGGCGGTTCTTTTGAGGCATTTGCTGTATTTAAGTTTGCAAAAATGGAAGTTGATGCTTGCCTTGCACCATTATGTGATGTATTCTTTCTCTTCACCAAGTCATTACTGATGCTGTAGATAAATGGATTTAGATTTCGTTTGGGACAGCTTTTTTATTGCTTTCTAAATCAACTTTTTAGTATAAAAGTTTATTGAATTAGAAAATTTTATACTAGAAAGTTGTTTTAGGAAGCAGTACGAAAGCTGTCCCAAATGAAACCTTAGATTTTAGTCTAGAAATTTGGGTTTTTAACTTAAGTTGGCTTTTGTGTCAATAGAGAAACTGTTGATGATCCTAATGAATCATGCTTGATAATCTCAAGCTTTTAGCTAATCTCCTATGTGGTCCTGGCAAAAGCACTCAAAATTCAAAGGCTGTTTTTACTTTTTTGGTTCTGATGCAATTGATTAGCAAGCGCTTGTGGAGCAATTTTCCTTATAAATAGATTTGTGTATGAATACTTTAAATAAATAATTCCGTAAATATGAATAAATTCATTATTCAACAACAACATCAAGCCTTTGTCCCACTGTGTGTGGTCGGCTATATGAATCCTTTTTCGCACTAAATTCATTATAATAAAATAAAATTCATGTACCTAAAAAGGCTTGCTTAGAAAATATTAGAAAACGGACTTTCTTTAGTAGTTTTAAATGAGAATTTAACTTTTAACAGGACATAATGAAAAAAAAAAAGATTCATATAGCTGATCTCAAGTATTGGAATAAAGGTTTAATGTTATTGTGTTATTGTTGTTATTGTATTATTATAAAATTTAGAATTATAATTTGAAGTTATAAATAATTATGATTAAATTATACATAATATATTTTTAATTATTTTTGAAATTTATTAATTAATAATTATTATATTGACATATTATAATAAATATTAAATATTTATATTAGATTATTTATTATTTTTAAAATGAGACTTAGTCGTTCCAATATCAAATATTAGTTGAGTTTTTTAATAAACATGTTTACTATTTTTGTATTAAACATGAAATAATTTTTTTAGAGAGTTAGATAATGTTGTTCATGAATATAAATGAGTCGTATAAATAGTTGTTTAAACCTGTTTATTTAACTATCGAATATTTTAAAAAATATTGAGTTTGTTTGATTACTTGATCAAGCGATCACCAATGAGTTTTAATCGACCTATGTCACGAGCAGCCTGTCAAATGCTTGATTCTTTAGACTTTTAAATAAAAGGTAATGATGAATAGTTTGAATCTTTTTGATTCTTATGATCTTAAGCATTTTGATTACTTATACTACAAATTTTCGATATTGAAATGTTCTTTCTATACTCATATAAATTTCTCAAAGTTGATTTGCTAGTAGTGCGGATAAATTTGAATCCAACAAAATAATTTTATTCATATTCGTAGAAAAACAAATAATGAAAATCTTCTCATATTTAATCAAAATTATTTGAATATATATATGAACTATGTATGTGAACCGCTGGATCGTAGTCGGACGGTTGATGAGGGCTATTGATCAACTATATATTGGCGGCTTTGAACCTCATCGAAGACCTAGACGAAGATCTTCACGCATTCCTCTCGCGGCGGCAGGGCTGTTCGTTCGATTCCAATTCTCGAAGCAAGGTGAACGTTCCATGGATTTTCTTTCGCAAATTCTCATTTCTTCGAGTGCTTTATGCTTTTTTTTTTATTCTCTCTACTTCTTTAATCCACCCTGCTTGAATTAGGTTTGAATATGGTAGCTCTAGATAAACTGTCGTTCTTATGAATAACCTATATGCGACTGTTGGGGCTGTATCGAACTTGGGAGGTACAAATAATGGTGGAATTGTTATATCTCTAGAAGTTCATCAGTGTTTCTTATTGGGGGTAGATTTTAACAATCGCTGTTATCAATGTTGGATATGAAGGATTCCATATTCAACAAAGTGGTTTGGCATGAAATTTTTTATGTTAAAATTTGATACCATGAAGCGAAAAATTGATGGACTGCCGAGAAAAAAAAAGGCTAAACAAGTGCTGTAAGTTTGTATCGATTGACCGCGTGCATTTGCAGTGAATGATTGCAACAATGTTGTGCAGAACTGTAGAAGGTTATGAAATGGTGGAACACTGCTTACGATGCAACTGTAGTTATTGTTTAAAGCAATCTTGATCGAAGGTTAGGAAATATAGGAAGGCTGACAAGCCTTTTGTTTTTTGAAATTAGACATCATTAATAAGTCAGATTGTTTGAATTTAGGTGGTGTTTCATTTTGTTTTGAGAAAGCTTTTATAGAAAGTAGTAAACCATCAGTTGGGGGCAGGGTGGGTGTCTGAGCTCATAAGCATTGGTTAAGAACATGTGGAATTTATAGCTTTAGAATTCTCCTATTATTCTAAGATTTTAAATATCCTAAATAAGTATAACTTGGTTATATTTATGATTGTGAGAGATATTTTGATCCTTATTTGGGTCATATCATAATGTTCTTGTTCTTGTCCATATTGGATGAATCATATCACATTCTCTCTTGTTCGAGAAGAGACTTGACCATATTTGTCAATGGTGAATAGCGCACCATACCACAAAGGTCCTCGTAGAGCTATAGCACATGGCACAGTACACGCTATTCTAAACATGGGGCAAAATATTAAAATTTATGGATAACATTCATTGATTAATCATTAAGGTTTCAAAAATTAGTTCATAGCAATTGGTCCTATTTCCAATTCCTTGTAGTTTTTTCCATCTAATATATTTGTTAATAAGTTGTTACAATGTTTTGTTTAACTACTAATTCTGCACCATTAATGGATAAATTTCTTCAGTAATCTCTTAGTGCCTTGATTCTAATATAATTTATTCTCATTATCAAGTTGGACATTATAGATAGAGCTATAATGTGTCATTATTGAAGGATGCATGGGGAACTAGCTTCATTTTCTAGAGGGATTTTGAAGTACTACAAATTTCCCATACATTGATAAATGTAGATAATGCACAAGTGATGTAAGAACAAGTACCTTTGTCGATGCACTATGAAGCCCTTCTTCATTGTTTAGTGAGAGCCAGAGTGTCCATAAGAGTAACTTTAGGACAGCTTTAGTGTTTGGTGAAAGAGATAGAGATGATTTGTGACATAAATAAAGACATTCAACGTGTGGCTAACACCTTAGAGTTGAAACCTAGAGAGCGCTGAGAGAGATAACCTAGAGTTAAAACCAATCGAGAGAGAGAGAGAGAGAGAGAGAGAGAGAGAGAGAGAAAGAGAGAGAGAGAGAAAGAGAGAGATTTTTCTTGGGGATTATTCGACGCCTTAAGAAAATAAATAATTGATATATAGTATTGATTTTAGATATAAAATAAAATTAATTCATCTTATCTTAACTCTAATAAATTTTAATTGATATAAAATAAAATAAATAAATATATAATATATAATATTGATTTTAGATATAAAATTATAAAATTAAAAAACGGAGCTATGTGGGGGATTCATGCTATGTACTAATGCCCATATATGGTGCAAATATCATGCGTAATTTTCACCCCTTGTGTTGTGCCAAGCAAATAGCATCAAGGGTGCGCTACATCGCGCCATACACCATGGCGTTTTCTATTTTGGGCTTATCATATTACATTAAGAATTCCAATAGAAAAAACACCTTATGATCTATACTTTTGCATCAAGGCTATCATTCCAATTGATATTAGTGTCTCAAGCTCAGAATATAAACTTTTTATGTTTTTATAATGAAAATAAGCTTTGTTATCATCTTATTTACTTATAGAGGCATGCGATATAGCTTCACTCATGAATGCTTCTTACCATTATTGAATAATTAACTACTTTAATCAAAGGATAAGGCTTCCAACTATCTTTGGTGGAGATATACTTACACAAAATTTTCAAGCTTCCACGGACAGACCACTGTGCAACAACCTTCCTTCTTGGTAGGAACCTTATGCGGTAGTTTTAAGGGTCGTGGTAGGAACATTAAAGCTTAAGGAATTAAATAGTAAGATATTAACCTCAAATTTGGAATGACTAAAATTTTTGCAACTCTTATTAATGGCTCCAAACAACCCCTGTACGTATAAAATTTTTCTGTAAATATGATAAATCTTATAAGAAAGTTTAAGCAAGCTTTAAATCTTCGTGCAATTCTTGGTTGGATTTCTAATTCCTAACAAGATCACATCCATTCTTCGAAATGATAGTAATTGTCTAAAGACAGAACAATTTTCACCTTCGATTCAAGATGCACGTGACCTTCATCTTATCTTAATCAAGGTACAATCAATCTCAATGGGATTTAATTCAACCTTTCCCAGATAGGTTAATATCTATCATCAAATAATACTTTGACAAATAATTTCAAATAGGTTAAAATTGTTCATAATTTTTTTAATATCTTCTGTCACATGTTAATGATTTATATAATAGATTAGATACTAAGGAGGGAGAAAGATATATCTATAAGTTAACCAAACAAAAAGATAGGAGTAGTAAAAATTTAGTTCAAGTGAAGTGTATTAAGGATGAATATAAAAAAATATTTTTCTTAGAAGATAATATTCAACAAAGGTGAATGAGATATTTTGCTAAATTTTTTAACCAAAATTGTGAGAATACGATTAAATGTAGTGACCTTAGCACTCTAATTGAATATAAAGATTTTTGTTTTTATCGGCGTATTAGTAAAACCGAAGTTAGAGAGATTTTAAAGAAAATGAGGTGTGGAAAAGCTATTGGACCTGATGATATTCAAATAGATGTGAAAATGTTTAGGAGATGAAGGCATTTCTTGGCTTACTAAACTTTTTAATACTATTTTGAAGACTAAAAAGATGTCACATGAGTGGAGAATGAGTGTTTTAATTCTTATTTTTTAAAATAAAGGTGAAGCACAAGATTGTGTGAATTATAGAGGAATTAAGTTAATGTGTCATATTTTAAAATTGTGGGAGCGAGTTATAGAGCTTAGGTTGCAGCGTGATATTAATGTTTCTCAAAATCAGTTTGGATTCATTTCAGGTAGGTCTACTATGGAAGCCATACATTTATTGAGAGGTTTGTTGGAGAAATATAGAGAGAATAAGGAGGATCTACATATGATATTTATTGATTTAGAAAAAAAAAAAACATATGATAAAGTTCCATGAGAAGTGTTATGGAGAGTTCTTGAAAAGGAAGGAGTTAATAATGCTTATATTCAAATCATTAAAGATATGTATGTAGGAGCTATTACTTGTGTCCAAACACAAGGTGGTCTGACCAAGTATTTTCCTATTACGGTTGGATTACATCAAGGATTAGCCTTAAACCCATATCTTTTTGCTTTGGTCATGGATGTTCTCACTAGACATTTGCCAGAGGATGTAGCTTGGTGTATGCTTTTTGCTGATGATATTCTTCTTGTTGATAAGACTAGAGAGGGAGTTGTTGAATTATGGAGGTAAACCTTAGAGTCTAAAGGTTTTCGCATGAGTAGATCTAAAACTGAATATATGGAGTATAATTTTAGTAGTAATAGAGTAATAGACCTAGTGAGGGGATTGTAATTTTGGGCGATCAAGTCATTAATAAAAGTACATGTTTTTAGATATCTTGGATCTATTGTTTAGAGTGATGGTGAAATAGATAAGGATATTATAAGTAGAATTCAAGTTGGATGGTTGAAGTGGAGGAATGCATCGGGCTTATTGTGTGATATAAAAACCCCTCTCAAACTTAAGTGAAAATTATATCAGATAATGGTGAGACCTGCAATGCTTTATGGTGTAGAATGTTGGCCATTAAAAGAGAAGCATAATACTAAGTTAAGTGCTGCAGAGATGAGGATGCTCAGGTGGATGAGTGGATTTACCTTTAGAGATAGTATATGAAATGAGCATATACGTGAAAAGGTTGGAGTAGCTCCAGTGGAAGATAAGATTAGAGAGAGTCGTCTTAGATGATTTGGTCACATAAAACGACGGCCTTCGAATGACCCGGTTAGGAAAGTAGAGGTATTAGATTTGACTTATATTAAGAAAGGTAGAGGTAGACCTAAAGATTTGGTTAGAAAATATTAGAAAAGATTTTTTCTTTATTAGATTTAAACGTGAATTTGACTTTTAACATGACACAATGGAGAAAAAAGATTCATGTAGCCAACCCAATGTAGTGGGCCAAAGGTTTGATGTTGTTGCTGGTTTTCTGTCACATGTTAAGATTTGAGTTGGCATTCCATTTTAATAACGTAACATAGAAAAAATTTCAAAGGGAATATTTTATGCACTCATTAATATAGAGGAGCTTGATTAAAATTATAAAATCTACGATGCTTGTCATAATCATGCCAAAATATTCGTTAAATTTAAATACAAAAGAAAAGAGATGTAGATATCCATTAGTTGAATAAGAGAAGATTTTTTCATGTATAAAATGAAAGCGCATTCATACAACACCAATATCTTAATCACTTAATTCTAGAGGTTAGCTCATTTGAGAAGAATCTTTAAAAATTAACGTTTGATTTAGCAAATATATAATTGAGCTTAATGTTTCAACAAGATGAATCTAGCTACACTTGAAATGATCGATTCAAGTTCAAATGAGCCTGAATCAAACAGTTGAAGATTATTGAAAATTTTGTAGTATTAATTGAGGAAGCAAATGTTCTCCGAGTGCTTATAGTATTATCGCGTGTCTCGATGAGATGAAATTCAATGAGTTTAAATCATTTAATTTTTATGTTATTAAGACACTTAAATGTTAAATAAATTGACTGCATGATTAAAGTGTTCAATATGGACCGTCCTATAGACTGTTATGAGATTGTGGCTAGATTTATCAAGATGGCACTCTAAAAATAATTATAAATTGAGACACTTTTTACATGAAGTGATCTTGGACTTGAGTTTGGAGAGAGCTTGGATATATAAAGAACTTTGAAGCTTTACCTAAAATCAATGTTGATGATCATCGCTAGCCACTACTATCGTCGTTCAACTGTCATCACCCGGCAATCATCGTTTGACCATCATTGTTTGGTCATCATAGTTCATTCACCGTTTTTTGATTGTCATCGACCTACTGTTGTGTCCAATTGCAATTGCCTAACTGTAGTTATCCAAACTATTGTTGTTGAATGTCCTTGCCCGAGTACCGTCGTCCGATTGCCATCATTTTTCCTCTACTACTAAGAAAACTCCACTACAATTACAAAAGACCAAAATTGAGTTTACAAATTTGTAATCATTTATTCTCCAATTGTTGGGAAGAGTGAATTTATATTATTTTACGTCCATTGTGGATCATTTCATCTAAGCCAGATCCTGTAGTTTTTTTTTTCCCTCTTTGACTTCACACACAAAATTTAGTGTTTTTTTTTTGTATGTGTGCAAGATTTTCGTGAAAATGTAGGATATAAAATACTCTCTATCACTACAAGTTTTTTATCACTTAACAACAAGAAATAATCTGAGAAATTAAAATCAAATGTATTTAGCTTACATCGCTTTCTTAAAATAATTGAAGTTAAAATACTTGCAACGAAACGGACTTTACAAGTTCCTGCTATTTATAGTGAAGGCATTTCTTACAAATGACTGATGCATCTAATATTTAATTTGCTCAGAATGAAGGTGGTTGCTTCTTATTTGCTTGCTGTCCTTGGTGGAAACACCAATCCATCTGCCGATGATCTGAAGCATATCCTTGGATCAGGTTCAAACTTCCTGTTTTCTTTTAGTGCTCTAAAGATTATTCTCCATATATATTCTTGCATGCTTTTGTTGCAATTTATCTGATTTTCGTGTGTGAGATTAAAATTTAAGACTTATTATATGGACTCGTGATAATATTTAAGTTGTTATTTTACCCATTCTTACATTTCAATGAATTCTGTGAAAATTTTATTATTTATCAAAGATTTTCTTGCAGAATATATTCTCTTAGAATGTCAGTTTTATTATATTTATTTTACTTAAATATTTAGAAATTTATAATCACATTTTTTACTGTTCATTAGATATCTGTTATAATATAAAATTAAGCATACTGAACATATTCTTAGCAAGAATCATAAAAAAATTGTGTAAACAAATTTTTTAGATGAAAATTTTCTTTCTAAATGGAAGATGCATTGTTGAATATCGTGAAAATGAAAATCATGTTTATTACCCTTAGCGAAACATTTGCCGTAATATTTAGCCCTGCCTTCTGACTCGTGATTTGCGTTGAGAACAAAAAACTATTTTATTCGCTTTTCTTTATATTTCCTCCTTTCTTTAACAAAAACAAAAATTTACTTGTTATGACAGTTGGAGCTGATGCAGATGATGATAGGATTGAATTCCTTTTGTCTGGAGTTAAAGGCAAGGACATAACTGAGCTCATTGCGTCTGGAAGGGAGAAATTTGCCTCTGTACCTTCTGGTGGTGCTGTTTCAGTGGCTGCTCCTGCTGGAGGAGCTGGAGCTGCTTCTACTACAGCTCCTGCAGCTGCAGAGACTAAAAAGGAGGAAAAAGTGGAAGAGAAAGAAGAATCAGAAGATGTAAGAATTATTATGCTTTTAAGTTTCCTTTTGGAGCGCATACAGTAATAGTTCTTCCAAGCATCATCACAATCGGGGTCATCACTAGACAATCTATGGCCCAACTTTGTAACTCCTCATTCTTTCTTCTTTGATAGTTTTATAAAATTGTAAGTTGATCAAATCGTTTCACACTATCCATCCTCTGTTCTCTAGTTTCCCATCTTATTGGCGCATATATCTTCTATCCATATGATTTCTAATTTAATCATGAATTAATTTAACCAGTAAATCCATTTCCAAGTGCCTTGGCTTTGGTTGCTACGCCCACATCACTCTTATGCAATAATTTTCCGGACATTAATTCATAGTTTTGCAACGCTTTCATTATTACATTCTTATTTCAGAATTTAAGTGATTTCTTCTTCTCCCACCTGATGTGGACATCATTAGCTAAATAAATCCTTAGGAATAGTTTATTCTTTGTTAGCTTAGATGTATGTTTTCTAGAGTCTTCTATTATGTCTTTGTTAGCTTAGGTGTATGTTTTCTAAAGTCTTCTATTATTTCTATATATACAAAATATTGTAAGAAAGGAGACATTGATGAATATTACTCCTTTGAAGTCTTTTGAAACTTAGTGCTTTATTTTTTCTTTGGATTGGGAATTTCTTTTTGCATCCTCTTATTCCAATGATCCAATGATTATCTCCCCACATCAGTTAGTATCAAAGACCGGAGCTTGCGAAGAACGATGGACTGCAGAAGGTGGGCTATCGTATAGGATCGAAGCTGAAGAAAATGGGTGGTCCGCGGTCGATGAAGATCGACACCGAATAAGATGGGTGGTCAACAACCCACCTTCTGTAGTCTATCGTTCTTCGCAAGCTCTGGTCTCTGATATCAACTGATGTGGGGAGATAATCATTGGATCGTTGGAAGAAGAGGATGCAAGAAGAAATTCCCAATTCATGAAAAAACACAAAGCACTAAGCTTCAAAAGGCTTCAAAGGAGAATAATATTCATCAATATCCTTTTCTTTCTTACAATATCTTGTATATATAGACATAATAGAAGACTTAATAAAACATACACCTAAGCTAACAAAGGATAAACTATTCCTAAGGATTTATTTAGCTAATGATGTCCACGTCACCAATGCTCATACCATCATCTAAGCATAATCTTATTATTAATTAGTCCTGTAATACTATGCTTGGTACCCAACATCATCTTAAGTCTAGTTGATTGGATTGGATTATATACTTATGCAAACTCTTGTCTACCTTCATTAAACAAATTTAGGCTTCATTTGGAATGGCTTTCTTACTGCTTTTTAAAGCAATTTTTCAGTACAATAACTTTTTGAAAACAGTAAATAAGCGGTGATAAAAAATTATCCCAAATGAAGCCTTAGTAAGTAATTTACTTTTCAGGGGATGGAGTTGCTTGGATTATTCATTATGTTTAGTTTTGTTCAACGCATTTTAGCCTAACGCTTAGATGTTATAAAACACTTTGTTTTGTTTTGGTAGGATATGGGCTTCAGTTTGTTCGACTAATTGCTGCCAAGCTCATCAGGAATGCGTCGCGGAGCTCATCGGTTTCATTCAGTAAATGTTGAACTTCTTTTATCAACCTTTAGTTTTTAGTTTGTTTAGTGTTTGATGGTGCTTAATGACCGTTTGTATTTTGGTTACAATTATACATTATAAATCGCACATCAATTAGTACCAACTTGGTTTTTCTAATAGCTGCTTATGGCTTAAGTTTGTTCTAACTATCTTTTGCAGCTGAATAACTTGAAACTGTTACTTTTTTTCCCGGATATTCATTAGTATTGTTTTTGTTAGCAAATTATTAGCCAGTTCTTGGGGCTCTGGTTTCATTTGGGATATCATGATTCAAGAAATTTCTGTACTAAAAAGTCGTTTTACAAAGCAATAAAAAAGTTATCCCTAACAAAATTTTAGGCTTCGTTTTGAGAAGGCTTTCTTACTGCTTAAAGCAGTTTTTTAGTACAAAAATTAAAATTTTTATATTAGAAAGCTGCTTTAAGAAGTAGTAAGAAAGCCGTCCCAAACCAAGCCATAGTCTTCATGAAAATTTTGTTTAGTTCTTGAATTAATATTTATATGAATAATTATATATTTTTTATATGGAGTCGACTAGATGAAATTTTTGTGTTCTATTAAGAGTCATGTTTTTATTTAAATTTAATAAACAAAAATCATTTTTGTTATTTTCTAATCAATTTGTTTTTGTCTATCTCTATTTTTTTAAATATAGAATGGATCCAATATATTTACTCTTCAGCCTCTTCTAATTTGATCATCAAAAGATTGTAGTTTTATTTGATCAAACAATCCAAGTCTACTCTCTCTATTCTTATACACAACATCAAGCTTCTATCCCACTACTTGTTACGAGTCAAATTCTCATTTAAATTTAATAAAGAAAGATCATTTTAAGTCTTTTTAGATATATTTTTACCTTTCTTAATATATATCAAATCTAATAAATTTACTCTCCAAATAGGCTCATGAAAGGCCACATTTTACATGGCCAAACCATCTAAGTTGACTCTCTTTATTTTTCTCCGTCTTTGAAACTACTCCAACCTTTTCTCAGATATCCTTGTTTCATATCATATCTCTAGAAGTAAGTTCACTCATCCACTTGAGCGTCCTCGTCTCAACTACACTTAACTTAATATTATGTTTCTTTTTTAATGGCCAACATTATGAGCCAAAAAGCATTGCAAGTCTCACCGTCATTTTAAAAAAAATTTCCCTTAAGATTGAGTGGTACTTTTCTATCAAACAACAAACTCGAAGCATTCCTCCACTTCAATCATTCAATTATAATTCTACTAATAATATCCCAATCTATTTCACTAAGGAGAAATGACTCTATAATCCTATCATCACTAAAAAAATAATTCAGTTAATTTTCATATGAGCTCCATTCGAATAAAAGATTGATTATATCTCAATCAAATTTCAATATTCAAATATATATATTTTTAGTTCAATGTATATATGTTGTGCATAATTATATATATTCATATATGCATATACATTAAGATTTGATATTGATCTTGCTAGATATGATTTAGGCTTTGTTTGGGATAAATTTTTTATCGTTATTTTCTTATTGCTTTCAAGACATTTTGTACTAGAAAAATACTATAAAAAATAGTAAGAAAATTCTCCCAAACAAAGCCTTAAATTCTATACAATGCGGGCTTGACTTTCGGCTCATTAAATTTGATTCAACCTAAATCAAAGCAAAAAAAATTAATTCAACTTTATGAATCATTTGGGACGAATTTTTTGCTGTAATTTTTTAGTATAAAAATTTATTAAACTAAAAAATTTTGTAATAAAAAGTAACTTTAATTGCCCATTTCCTTATTAATTATTTGCTGACATGGTTTGTTGAAAAAAAAAAAAAAGATAATGTACAGTTTGTTTCATGATCCTCATATAAAGATGATCTATTTGACTCATAATAAAAATAATCTATCCTGTAGAATAAGGGGTTAGATTATTAGCTAAGGATATTCAATTAATCAATAGAATTCTAGAAGTTTCTCACTATATTCTCGTCCTCTCTCTTATTTTTCTTATTTATTAAACATTTTTGTCATTAAGATTCTAGTGTAGCATACGCCATACGGATAAATTTAGATCCAATAATGTTTATTTATCAATTCTTAAAATATTTTAAATAAAATTCTACTTTTTAAAACGTGCTGATATAATGTAAAAAATATAGTTGAGCAAAATACTACTTGGGGTTTGTATGTTTGCAAGCATTTAAAAACAAAAAGTATTTTAAAAGCAATGCAAAATCATTATATTTGGAATTTATGAGATTTGTTAAAATTTATAAATTAAAATTTGAATATAAAAAATAGAAATAAAAATAATAAACTGACATATACGAGTAAGCAACCGAGGTACCTGCGATGCAGCTGGATATGGCTTGTGATACGGAAGTAGTTGATGGGCATGAAATTGATTGGAGGAGATCAAGTTGTGGTGTTTCAAACATATAACAGTGAGAGAAGACAAGGTAGTCATGTCGCAAAACAGGTCCTATCATCTCTCGGGATAGTGCTTCTGCATAGTGTTTGCGGAGTCAATGCAGCCATGCAATATTATTCGATCTCAAGGTGTCATGAAGTAGGCAAATTATTACATCTGGTCATCGGACACGGAGAATAGGTTCGGATATCCAATAAAAATTTGCCACGTCACCTGCGCTTTTGACTTGCGCTTTAGTTGCGTTTTGACTACGCTTTTGACGCGCTTAATTTAAAATAATATTTTGCTCAAGGAACAACATTTTCAGAATTTGTAAGATTAAAAGCATTAGATGTGCATATTTTTTTGTTCACTAAAATTTTCAAATGGCTAAAAGCGTAAAAATGTACAAATTATTTCAATTATGCAGAAATCTCGGCAAGATAAAAGCTTCATGAGATACAAATTTCTTTGTTTCTCTAAAAAAATTTTAGGACTGAAAAACCCAGTTAGCATATATATCATTAAAGCCAACGTCAATTCTTGGCTTCCTCAATATTGACACTGAATATTTATATTAAGTTGAAAGTCACATTTTATGTCTGACAGTACCTAAAATGAATATACATGCCTATATTTTATTGAATATAAAATGCAATAAAACTCTTACCCAATATCTTGTCAAGTTGTGATAAATGAATCCAATATTTAAGTTTTGGAAATTATTTAAATTTTTTGATAATTTTTAACTTCAAATCAACAATAACGAGTACTGAAAACAAATTCGTCCACAAAAAAAAAAAAATGCAAAACAGGTCCTATCATCTCTCGGGATAGTGCTTCTGCATAGTGTTTGCGGAGTCAATGCAGCCATGCAATATTATTCGATCTCAAGGTGTCATGAAGTATGCTCAAGGAACAATATTTTCAAAATTTGCCCAATTAGTTCAAAATTTCTTTAGAATTTTTTTTTATCCTATCCAAACACTTAAAATTTGAAAACTCTTGCATTTGATTTTCTCTACACTCTTATTATTTAGAGCTTTTGAATATGAATACTTTGCTTATGGATGCCATCACAACCTATTTTCTCTCTTAGGGCATCTTCAACAGAGAACTCCATTTTTCGTGGCAAAATACTGCAAAACTCCAAAATGTCGTAGTGCTGCTCCAATCAAACTGCATTTTAAGTACTTCTGCGAAGGTAATGATCCTTCTCCCTTTCACGCCTTTTTCCGATTGAGAGAACAAAATAGCATAGGTGAACAATGCAACGTCAATATTGATGTCGCACTGTTGACCCACAGGTAAATGGCGGAAGATTTGGTGTTCTGCTGGAGCGACCGAACGACGCCATACGCACGTTTGGCGTTCGGTCGAAGATGCTCTTACATTGGAGGATTCCATCAATGACGTAATTCAAAGGAGTTAATTTTCTTATCTTATTACAAATTCTAAAAAAAATTAAGACCTCATTTTTATTGAAGATAAAGGCTTATATGTCAAGTAAGTTTTTATTTGAATTATCAATGATTTTTTTTTTTTATAAATAACTTCATAAAGAACAAAAATCCCTAGGAGTCATTCCCATGAAATAACTTATATGGGATCTAGTATTAGACGAAATTTTCACTAGAAAGATTTTTTGAGAGCAAATAGTTAATAGGGTCTCCACTCATCCAAGATCTTAGAAGAATAAAAACTTCAAGATGTACATGTTTGATTCTTAAGAAAATTTGTAATATTAAAAGCATTAGATGTGCATATATTTTTTTTTTCTCTAAAATTTACAAATGGCTAAAAGCGTAAAAAACTAAAAATGTACAAATTATTTCAATTATGCAGAAATCTCGGAAAGATAAAAGCTTCATAAGATACAAATTTCTTTGTTTCTCTAAAAAAAATTAGGACTGAAAAACCCAGTAAGTATATCATTAAAGCCAACGGCAGTTCTTGGCTTCCTCAATATTGATACTGAATATTTATATTAAGTTGAAATTCATATTTTATGTCTGACAGTACCTAAAATGAATATACAAGCCTATATTTTATTTGAATATAAAATGCAATAAAACTCATACCCACATACTGGACATAGCATATCTTGTCAAGTTGTGATAAATGGAATCCAATATTTATGTTTTGGAAATTATTTAAATTTTTTGATAATTTTTAACTTCAAATCAACAATAACGAGTACTGAAAACAAATTCGTCCACAAAAAAAAAAAATATCGTCTTCTTATTTATCATCAGAATGTATATAAAACTACAGTGTTTGACTATAGACTAAGCTAAATAACATAACAATAAAATTAATCATGATTGTACATGAAAAGAAAGGAAAACATCTACATACTCATATTACATTCTGACACTACTACTCAACTAGCCATTTCCCTCTATCAAACCTTGAAAATAGAAGGTAAAACAACGATGAACTAGCAGAGTTCATCAAACTGTATTTTTACCAATCTAAATTTTTAAATAATTCAATTGCCAAATATGCAACTGAGTTTAAAACAATTTATATTAAATCATTGTATTGAATAGAATCCTACTCCCAGTCATCCAAAAACTTTTATGGCATTGTAAGAACATAAATAAACAAGTACTTTAATTTGTATATCAGAACATAAAGTAACAACTTTTCTTCAAATTATTATGCCTCACAATGTCAATACTAGAATATAATGTGCATATAGTACTCGAATATGCCTGTAGGCACCATAACATGCATGTAACAACAGAATATGCTCATAAACACTAGAACATGAATCCTTCCAACCACATCAGAACTCTTCATAATCACTAATCATTTTAACTAATTAAGTATAAAATACATTTTATTGTAGTAATTAAACATAAATAAACTCATTCCATAATTTCACATAGTGCAATAATGGTAGGCAATAGAGTATACTAATGTATAAAAATTCAAAATTTCAAAAAATAATCAATTTACTAGGGATTATGCAGAAAACCCATTATTTTAAGGGTTATAGATTATTTTTTAGACAATTAAAAGGCACACATTTTAAAATCCTGTGTGTAAAACTCCCCAAGGAAAATCTAAATGTCCAAAATCATTGTCTTTGTAACATACAAAAAGTTACATGATGAAAATTTTACAGATATTAAGTTATCCCTATTTTTTGCTAACAAAAATATAAATTAAATTAGAAAATTTGTGAGATTTTTGCATTTATGAAAATTAAGATAACAAAAATATCACATACCTTAATCCGAACAACTTTTATAATTGGGTGATCAACTAAAAATGACCCAAAGTGGCACAAATCTCTCCTTTCTCTCTCTAAAATCACTCTCTCACTTGCATTAGCTGCCTTAAGAAAACAGAAAGGGTTCAAATAGTGGATTTGGATATCTAAATATTAAATTTGTCCTAGCACCTTAGTGCAGTGCACACATGACTCTCCCTTCAAGGAGTGATTATTCCGTCAGGTTACCGAATGCATCCGAAAACCAATAACAAAACGCCATGTCACTAAAGTACTCGGTATCGTGCTCGGTACAGGCGCTCGGTACACTCGGTATGCTCGGTATTTTTACCGTATGTAATAAAAATTCCCCTTCAAGGACCTACGAAGCCGCTGAGCCTGCCGCATGACAAAGCGCCAAATTAATTTGCCAAAAATCTTAGAGTGCTGGCGTCGAAGCGTCACCAACCCAAGGCCGCGATGCACCCAAGTAAAATTCAGATTTTTAAAACACGTAAACAAACTCCTATTGCCACTCCAGAACAAATGCATACTCTCACATACAGATAAAATATTCTCAAAAACATGCATAAGGGTATAAATGCCAAAATTTAATAAATTTACCTTTTTCAGATTAAGCCAGAACATGTTGATCTGAACTGGATTTGGAGGTACTGTAATTGTTGTTTCAAAATAGTTTTTTTTTTTTAATTATGAATCATAATGCATCCAAGTGGGGATAGTCAATCCCCCTTCAAGAGAAAGAGCAGAGCTTTTGTGCAAGGATTGAAGAAATTAGCTGTCATTCATAACTCCGCTTATGAAGTATTATTTAGTAATCTTGAAAGATAGAATAAAAGAGCTTGTAGAGAGATATTAATTTGCCTATACAAGACATCAGCAAGTCTCTCTTAACAAATAAAACTAAAGCCTATTAAGAAAGAATTGAGAGATGTGGAGTATTATCACAACTTCACTGATCAAATATAGTGTAACAACCCAAGTTCTTAACGATCGAGATATAGTCCGCTTTAACTTAAAGGTTGCACAGTTTTGTCCCATACGTTTACCTTCCGAGGAGGTCGCCAATCCCTAAAGATTTCTCCGGGATGAGCACATTTAGCTGTGGAGATTTTTAATGAAATTTCAACCATTACGTCAAAAGGCGCCTCGATGTTTAAGAGTTTAGCTTTTCTTACTTAAGATATTTCATAATCTCATACATTTAAGTAATTGACGGCATTGTCAGTATCTTTATCTTAGAATTATCCACCAGACAAGTAGGATTTTGGAGGTGAACACTACAAGTTTAACTGATGACACCTGTCATGTAACACTTTATCCCATACATGGTTCAAGAGGTGGCTCTCATGACGTAGAACATTGTCTTGTATGACACTTAGTTTCTATCTTCCGACTGGTGCATTACTCTGATACCATTTGTAACATCCCAAACTTAATTATCGAGATATTATTCACTTTGACTTAAGGGTCACTGTTTTGTCATGTTGGTGTAACTTCTCATGAAGTCGCCCATCCCAGGGCTTTTTCGGGATGAACACATTTAACTGCAGAGTTTTTTCATAAAATTCTAAAAATTACACCAAAAGGCTCCTTGACATTTAAGATTTTAGCTTGTTTTTATTTAAGGGATTTCACATATAAATAGGTAAACTTAGTACATAAAATATTGGAGCTTGTAAACAAAAAAATACTTTGAAGGAAAAATACTTTGCCAATAAAAGTAGCCACATGCCTCTTTTAAGGTAAGGAATTAGAGCCCTCAAAGGAGGAAATTAGGCATGTTAGATTTCTGCTCACTCATAGGAATATTTATTTTTGAAAAAGAAAGAAAAGATGTTATATATATATTTTTTGTAAATTCAAAAATATTTTTGAGTTTTTTTTTTTGGAAAAATTTTGGTAATTTTTCACTTGTTAAAACTATATATGCAATGATTAAAAATATTTTTTTTAAAGTAAAGTGTGAGAGGTTACTATAGTAGTACATAGTTGCGTCTGTGCACACCTATTTGCATGGTTGTAATAAGCACCTTCAATCTTGTGCCCACAAATGTCTATTCCCCTTCAAAGTATAATGGATTATTTTAACTAGGTCAAATCTTGTGCTTTTTTTTTTTCTCTTGCGGTTGTTTATTTTATTCTTTTAACTTCGATTTTATTGATACACCGATAAAAATAGAAATCTTTATTTTCATTTAGAGTGCTAAGGTCACTACACTCAATTGTATTTTCACCTTCTTCATTAAAAAATTTAGCAAAATATCTCATTATGGAGTGTAATTTTAGTAGAAATAGACCTAATGAAGGGATTATGATTTTGGGCGATCAAGTCATTAATAAGAGTACATTTTTTAGATATCTTGGATCTGTTGTCCCGAGTGATGGTGAAATAGATGGGGATATTATCAATAGAATTCAAGTTGAATGTTTGAAGTGGAGGAATGCATCGGGCTTGTTGTGTGATAAAAAAGTATCCCTCAAACTTAAGGGAAAATTCTATAAGATGGTGGTGAGGCTTGCAATGCTTTATGGTGCTGAATGTTGGCCATTAAAAGAGAAGCATAATATCAAGTTAAGTGTGATAGAGATGAGGATGCTCAAGTGGACGAGTTTTACCCTTAGAGATATGATACGAAATGAGCATATACGTGAAAAGGTTGGAGTGGCTTCAGTAGAATATAAGATTAGAGATAGTCTCCTTAGATGATTTAATATAAATTAAACGGTAGCCTTCCGATGACCCGGTTAGGAAAGTAGGTATTAGATTTGACTTATATTAAGAAAAGTAGAGGTAGACCTAAAAAGACTTGGTTAGAAAATATTAGAAATGATCTTTCTCTATTAGATTTAAACAAGAATTTGACTTTTAATATGATACAATGAAGAAAAAAGATTCATGTAGCCGATCTCACGCAGTAGGATAAAGACTTGCTGTTGTTGTTGGCAATTGTGGTGGTATTTATTTTATTCTCTCTTTTTATTTATATATGTACTTGATTTTCATGCAAAATTAATACGAAAAGCTTTCTTTTTATCGACAAAAATTTTTTGCTCGCAATACATCTTGAAAACACTCCTTGAATTTTGTTTTAGTATGTAGCTCATTGATATCTTATATTTTTTTCTTTATTTATATTGCTCGTTAATTTTAGATTATATTAAATATATATATATATATATATATATATATAGTTTAGATATTAAAATATTAACAAATAAATATAAAAAGATGTTGGATATAGAATGCATGAAATATTTGATGGTATGCATGTATGTAGCGTAACCTGTCGAACCCAAAGCCTTTCTTTTCCTACGATCCTCTAATAAAAAACCCGCTCAAAAACCCTAGCGAACATCTTCGAGCTCTCTTCCGTTACCGCCGGCCTCGGCGATCTCCGGTGTTCTTCTCCTTTTACTACTTGATTCTATAACGTCTCTTTAAACGAGGCGGATTAACTCCACTCAACCCAATCGCCTTCGCCTATCCTATTATCCACCCATAGAGTGACAGGAAGAAAGAGATGTCGTCAGAGGAGGAAACAACTAAGCTATTCCGCGTCTGGAAGACGACTCTGGAGATGCTTAGGGACCGCGGTTTCCTCGTCCTTGATTCGGAGATCAACATGAGCATGCGTGAATTCCTTGATAGGTTCGGCGAGTATTTCAAGCGGGAGAATCTCGACATGTTCAAGACCAAGAAAGATGACCCAAACGATCGGGTACTCGTTGCTTGCTCAACGTTTATTTACTTTTATTTTTATTTTTGTTTTTTTATGAAAATTTAGGGCAGGATTGAAGGGTAATGATGCTTGATTGGTGGAAGAATGAGGAAACATATAATAGCAGCGCAGAAGCTTAATTTTGATAATATATTTATTTTTTAAGATTAGTATTCAACTTCACCACTTAATTACGTTCTGAAAAAATAATTCTTTGAGGGCGCTTGATTATGAACCTTTGTTTTGTTATTGAAAAAAAGAATTGTAGAAATGTGAGTTTATTGCTGACTAAAGTTCTAAGACGAGCTCTACTTCTGAGAAAGCATCTTCCCCATTTGATTTGACGCATAGCTTAATCAGCGATTTGTAAATCAAGAAAAAAATGAGAATAGTTAGGGGAGGGATGAAGTGGGCTTAGGTGGGGAGGACTTGAGAAGAATAATTCCTCTCTAGAGGTACAGGTTATGAATGAATGATGTTAGAATGTAACTTTTTATCATGAATTCTTAACATTGCTGCATCGTATTAGGATCACTATAGTGTGTTTTGAAACAGGGCTACAGACAATATTGTATTATAATCACAGCCATTTCAGTAAGCTAGGTGCATAGCATATTATTAGATTAGGTTTCCGGTTCCTATAAAACAATAACAAGAATATTAAGCCTTTATCCCACCCCATCGAATACATGTATCATTTTTTCTCTATTGTGTCCTATTAAGAGTCAAATTCTCATTTAAATCTAATAAGAAAATGTCATTTCTAATACTTCCTAACCAAATATTTTTAAGCCTATAACTACCTTTTTTTAATATAGGTAGGATTTAATACATATAGTCTCCTAACCGGGTCATCGGAAGTAGAGGTGTCAATATTTGACATGACCCGAAAACTCGACTCGAACCCGACCCGAAAATTTCGGGTTAGGGTCAACCCGAACCCGAAACGGGTTGGGTTCGGGTTCAGTATTTCGACCCGTTTTAAAAATCGGGTCGGGTTCGGTTTAACCCTTTGACCTGAAATTGACCCGATTTTGACCCGGCAACCCGAGATTAACCCGATTTTGACCCATTTTTTTACCCGAAAAGAGGATATTGACCCGTTTTGACCCGAAAATTAGCCATTTTTTGTTGGGAACGGGTCATTCGGGTCGGACTCGAAGCGGGTCGGTTCGGGTCTAGAAAACCGACCAGTTTTTAAAAATGTGTCGGGTTCGGGTTGACCCGAATAGTGCCGGGTCAGTTTCGGGTTCGACCCAAACCCGACCCGTGACCTGAAATTGACACCCCTAATCGGAAGGCCAACGTTTTATGTGACCAAACCATCTAAGGCGACTCTCTCTAATCTTATCTGACATTTGAGCTACTACAACCTTTTCACGTATATATTCATTTCACATTGTCTCTGAGCATAAAACTGCTCATCTACCTGAGCATCCTCATCTCTGCTACACTTAATTTAATGCTTATTTTTTAATGAATAACATTCTTCCCATAAAGCATGTCAGGTCTCACCACCATTTTATAAAAATTTTCTTTAAGTTTGAGGGATAGTTTTCTATCATACAACATGCCTGATGCATTCATCCACTTCAACTTTCCAACTTGAATTCCACTAATAATATCCCCATCTATTTCACCATCCATTTGAATAATAAACTCGCGATATCTAAAATGTCCATTCTTTTTATTGACTTGATCTCCCAATGTCATTGTCCCACCACTAAATCTAGTATTTGCTAAAATAACACTCCATGTATTCTATTAGATCTACTCAAATGAAAACCTTTAGACTATTACATAATTCAAGTTTTTCTTTAACTCTCTCTTTAGTTTTACCAACAAGAAGAATTTCATAATGAAAAAGCATACACCAGGTTATATCCTCTTGTAAATGCCTAGTAAGAACATCCATGACTAGAGCTAAAAAATATGGCTTAAAGCTGATCGTCAATATTATCCAACTGAAACAGGAAAATATTTTGCCAAACCACCTTGTGTTTGAAGACAAGTAACAACTTTTATATGCATATCCTTAATGACTTGAATATAAGCATCATTAACTCATTTCTTTTCTAGAACTCTCCAAAGCACTTCTCTTGAAACTTTATTATATGTTTTCTCTAAATTAATAAATATCACATGTAGATTATCCTTATTGTCTCTATACTTCTTCATCAAATCTCTCAACAAATCTATAGTTTGCATAGTAGACCTACACAACATGAATGCAAATTGATTTTGAGAAACATTAGTATCACGAAGTAACCCATGCTCTTTATGGTTCATATATTGGAAAGTTCACATGTGAATATGATTCTAAAGTTTTCTTGTTGGTCACATCCTCAATTACTAAAAATTACTTTTTATGAGAGGTTTGGTCTTTATGGTGGTTGGCACTTCAGAGATGTCTTATTTTATATTTTGCTTGAATGAGGAAAGAGCCAATGTATTTGGGTTTTCTTCTTGCTTTGACAATTGTATTTCTACCTCATTTTTTATTACAATAAATTGTCAAATTAAACTCTTAGCAGGATAAAATGGAGAAAAAAGGATTCATGTAGTCGACCCCACAATGGGATAAAGGCTTGATATTGTTGTTGTATATTGTATATTGTCAAATTAAAAGTTTCTGGCCTATATTATATAATGAATGGAATTTTCTCATTGCTCAGTAGGGTTGGGCGCATCAAATTACATGGAAGCCTGATTTTTCCGATACTACATTGCTGAGCAAGTGCATGATCCTTCAAAGTAGATGTTTAGCATTCTATATTATATTTAAAAAAGTTTCTTGGCTGTTGTAAATGAACTGAGTTATAAAATTTTGATAAGATTGTCTTTATTTTCTTATTAAATTTGACACGTAATTGAGCTTAATTAATTATATGTAAGGTGCTAACTATTTTAAAAGATAATTTTTTTATTGAACATATATGTTCTTCACAGTTAGTTATTAGTAAAAAATTACAAAAAAAAAAGAGAAAGTTCTTCACAGTTGTGTCAAAATTGGCATGATTTACTTCCATGTTTAAAATTGTCAATATGGTAGTCATATAATACTAATGTTTTGGGTGTTAGATAGGTAAATAGCATGAAATAAAGTGGTATGTATGTAAAACCCCCTAGATTTAAATGAGAATTTGACTTTTTACAGGACACAATGGAGAAAAAAAATTCATGTAGCTGATCCCACGCAGTGATGTAAATGCTTGTTGTTGTTATTGTGGTTGTCTTAATTCAATTGATGGTTTCCTTAAACATTTGTTATTTTTTTTTTACTTTTATTAGTTTCTATACTTTTGCCTGTTCCTAATGCTCAAATTGGTGGGAGGTGTACATCATTCTATGAATGAATTGAAAGCATCACGCATTTAATTTGAAATTATTAACATATTAAAAAATGTTATTTAATTTTCTGTAACAAGTTCAAACCGTTTATCAGATTTTTGATTTATTGACTTGGAACAATTGCCTGAAACTGGCCACTTCCGGTAGAGCTCTTTTCGGTATAATTCACAAGTCTTCTATATGAAGAAAACTTGTATTGGGAACCCAATTTTCAATTGGAATTCTTCATATTTGTGTTCAGTTATTCTGTTAATTTTTTAATTATGTATGAATAATTATTCCTTCTTGCAGATATTTGTTTTCTTTCCAAATGAACCAAAGCTAACTATCAAAGTTGCAAAAAGATATGCTGAACGGATGAGAGTAGAGCAGATATTAAGAGGAATAATAGTTGCCAAAGATGCTCCAACTCCAATTGCAAAAGGTGCAATTGAAGATCTATCTCATAAATATTATATTGAGGTTTTCATGGTGAGGCTTTTTTTTTTAATTTTTTTTATTTACTTATTTCTGTTTCGAGTCCACCCTTTCAAAGCATCAACTATTTTGAGCATTTTTAATACATTTCAAAACTACTTGCAGGATGCTGAGTTGCTGGTCAATGTTAACAACCATATGCTTGTTCCAAAGCATGTGGTGCTTAGCAATGAGGAAAAGAAGGAACTGTTGAAACGTTATACTGTCAAAGAAACTCAGGTAAGTTCTTTGGTGATATAGATAAATGCAAATAAAAGAAGAATGCATGTCCAGTTTATTTGTTTAGAGTCGTGTCCGAATGGTTGGGAGTTTTTTTTATCTCTTCCATAGCTCTTCGAGTGCACTGACTTGCACTAACTTCGCTAACATTTGAACTTCGGTTCTAAAAAATGTCCAGGCTTTTGGGTTTTGTAGTAGAACATTTTTGGCCTCCTGTTCGTTGGGACAGGTGAGCACCGAATTGGTATTTGTTCCAATTTAGGCTTCAATTGGGACGACTTTTTTATTGCTTCTTAAAACAAAATTTTAGCACAAAAAAATTTTCCATCCACTCAGCCACCCCTCTATTTGCCTTCCTATTTAGTATAGTCACCTTTCCCTTTGGAATGCCTCATCTACAATCTCTGCGCATGCATTGCATTTCCTAAGGAGCCAAAAAATTGTTGCTAATCTCCTGGTCTGTAACTTGAATGTTTTCTATGTTCCTTTTCTCTGTCAATTAGATCTGCGATTTGCAACTTTCTCTAAGCATTAAGAAGCACTGGATCCTAACTATGAGTGGATTGATACTGTTTTGCAGCTTCCAAAAATGCTGTTCACTGATCCAATTGCAAAATATCTTGGCATTCGGCGAGGCCAGGTTGTGAAGATTACCCGAGACAGTGAGACAGCCGGGAAATATATCACCTATCGTTATGTTATTTGATTCATGGGCTGCGTGGGGTAATGCTTTGTTGACTGTAATCAAATGATGTTTATTGCTTGCAGCGGTTATTATATATATGCTAAGAACTACTTTTACCAAGTGTATTGTAGCCAAGATGCTTACTAAATTCACAGTTTTTGTTGTGTGTAACATCATCTATTAATATGGTTCCCCTATATTGATCTGTGCTAACATTACTCAATTTTATGATAAAAAAGTAAACCAGTTCTATCACAATTAAGAAATGTAAGATTCTAAATCTTCTTAAAAAGAAAATTGAAGGTTCTAAAAGAAAGTGTAGCAAGATGCTACCATTTATATTGTGGGCCTCTAAACCATGTCATCTTCACTAATTGGTAAAAATCCTTTAATCCCTTCTCATGGAACCAAGGCATTTATACCTATTGAGTGTAATTTGCACAAATTAAGGAAAGTAGATGCAACTTCTTATTGATAATATTGAGAAAGATTACTTTGACTTTAAAAGATTTTATACCATCAAATAACAAGTCATAGCTAAGACTTTAAAAATCTCAAATTTGTATTGATAAGGAAGTGCTACCAACTTAGAGTATTATTGATTTGAAAAAATTATAGCATTAAAAAGATGAAAGTCTCATTTAGAAAAAAATTATTGCAAATTTACAAATTTCATATCAAATATACAATATTTAATATTTGAGTATTTATTTATTTTTTTTTCATTTTAGAAATATGTGCAATTACAAATAAAATATTGAAATTTTAAATACAAGTCATGACAAAGTACACTTGGGGAAATTACTCTAATGAGTGTAACACTTGTATTTAAGAAGTTTCATACATTACATTAGTTGAGCTTGCTCCTTATATTAAAAAAAAATAGCTAACATGACAGCTTGAATGTTATAGTAATGATCTCTAATCCTAGAAACTTAGCTCAGAAGGGCTATCAAGTCAACAACTCAAAGCAGTTAGAGAAATATTAGTACATTCAATCTTTTGCATTAAATTGACCAAAATTCAAGTAAATAAATTTGAGATATTAGTGACTTCAATCTAAAATAGAGAAACTTATTTCATAATTGCATACTCAAATAGTTAAGCAAAGGACTAACTAAAATTTCGTTTGGAACGATTTTCTTACTATTTTATAAAGTAGCTTTTTAGTACAGTATTAAAATATTTGTACAAAAAAATTACTTTAAAAAGCAGTAACAAAGCCGTCCCAAATGAAGCCTAACTCCTACAAACTATTAAAGTGATCAAAACTTTGCGGCTGCATCTAAGAGTAGGAGACTGTCCATTACAAGTGACCTTGAACCTAATAAAGTTAGACAACTTATACTTGATGAAATAGCCATCCTAACACTTTACTTAAAACATGTGCTTCCTTTATGGATAAAACAATATGATGATCCATTATTGATAATATTATTCAACAAAAGTCTATTATTCACTCCAAGAATTTATTTATATTTAGTCAATGACATTTAGCAAATTGACAGAGTCTCATAATTTGTGATTATTTACAAAGGCAATTCGCTAATATTTCTCCCTTATTTTATACTTCTTACATTTGATATTCTTGAAATTTTAAAGGTGCATTCACAAGCATCCAACTTAGCTCTAAATGCTAACTTAATAGTAGAAGTTAAACCCTATGACTTAGACTCCGCTTTCCCGAGAAGATTCATGATGAGATAAAGAGTTCTATTCAAATCAACGAGTTTTAAAAATTGCTAAGACACAAAGATGAAAAATTTCAAATGCTAGGTGAGACAAATTTAATAGGTGTTGACTTGTGCTAAAAGTCAAACCACATGATAAAAAGTTATTTTGCCTTATAAGTTTATTGAAAGTAAAGCTTGAGTTGCTCCAAAGTTGGTTGATTATATAAATTTTTTAATGACTTGTTACTATTGATATTTTTTGGCAATTGTTCTTTTGATATTGAATGCTGGATTCCAACAAATTTTTTTTGCGTCCACTATCATAAATAACATTGACACCGACATTGCCTCTAAGAAATAAAATAAACTGTAAATAATATTTCTGTCTAATACTAACACTATTGCCAATATTATAAGATAGCAAAGCTTATAATAGTGAAAACAAAATATAACAGGGAATAGCAAAGCTTTAGGAATGAGTCTTCTTTGGGAGCAAGTGAAGCAAATCATGATGGAAGCAAAAAAATATAACAGGGAAAACAAAAAAAAATAACTTTTATGTTCTTTAAATACTTCACGGGCAAACGAAAACATAGAGCCTAAAATATCTCTTTTGCTTCTTCATCGAAAATATATGATCATAGGAAACACAAGCAATTTTTAAAACAGTCCGAAATAAGAAAAATAAAGTAAAATAAAACAACTAAATTCAAGTGTCGCGTTGCTTGGTTTGAAAAAAAAAAATCCAACAGATTCAAATGCAAAGATTAATAGATAGCAGCCACGGCGGCGGGCATTCCTGCTCTTCTGCGACGCAGGAGCAGATCACTTGAGATGGATTTGATGGATAAGTTGTTGGGGTTTGTTGATGTGTGCTACCATAGGAGGTGGCGGAGGAGGTAGCGAAGCCAGTGGCATCGACTCGCAGCGATTTGGCTCGAAGAGGAGAGTAGCTGAACTTCATAACTTGTCGGAAAAAGGTTGTAGATTTGTTGAATGGTTTCCCTGTTTCTGGCTTTTCTTTGTTAAAATCCCAACTAGAACTGTTTTAGTTTTTTATTAGAGCTTTAAGGACTCATTTGGTTGGTTGCAAAATACAAAATAAGGTTTAGAAAGTCATGTTTTTTTTTTTTTTTTTTGCTTTCAATCATTCTGAGAGACAAACAAAAATCCTCACTTTTGAGGAATTAAAATAAAATGTATAGTTTTTTAAAAAATTGCTTTCTCACATGAAGAAATCACAAATCTTATATTTAACATTGTAAATTGTAAGTTTTTACTATCTTATATTTAATATTATACATATTTGAATAATAATTGAAAACCCAAATTCTAGCTTAGCCCCATGCGTCTACTAGCTGTGGTGCGGCGGGCGCAGGAGCAATCTCTGGCGATCCGCGCTGCCTATATATCCTGGATACCGCAGCAGCAGCAGCAAGTTCGATGGGCAAGGGCGGGCTTCCCGCGCGGCCGTCCTCGGCCTCCCAAAGCTGGCGTCGTAGTTGGAGAGGGGAAGTCAGACTGGTGGGTAGTCGACGGCGAGATGCACGAGATCGGTGATCACGTTCCCCACCGAGAGCGCTTTGTTATTCCTAGAGATAATATTCCCAATCGCCGCCGCAAGCAGATGCGCGAGCAGTTCATGCGCCGCACACGCCTCGTCCTCAAAGAGTCGGTTTGTATCTTATCCTCCCTATAACGCTATTCCGGTTATCCAAAACCCTTGATTGAAAATGTAACGCGAGTGAGTGAGGATATGTATGTTTTGAAGAAATTTAGGCGAAAATTGTTTAGAAGCAAAATTTGCCCTCTATAGATAATTTTAGGTAGTATGAGGACACCGTCAAAGCATAGGTTTTATCGAATGCTGGATACCGATTAGCCATTTATGTCTTTCATGAAGGAAGTTAAGAACAGTGATAGGGTAAAATGGCATCCTAGAACTTGTTATGGGAGCGATACGTCTTGCACAAACTCAACATACTCTTTCATTTAACATGTTATATACATGATTGTAGAATGTAGGAGGAGGAGCAGGCTAACATTATATTTGTTTACACCATTTAGCACAGAGCATCGCATCTGATGTGGAAATTATGTTAAAGTGAGTATGAAGAATACTTCTATTATTCAAGTGTTTCCAGAAATTATAAGAAAGCTAAGGGAATTGCACATGAATATTTACCGTTTCTTATGTATATTTATTTTCTGTTAATTTGATTTTAGTGAAATTTTTTGTTATCATGCACATTTTTTTGGCCCACGTTGTAATTCCTAAAGTATTTGGAAAGGCATGAATTGACTTATGCAACCTGCTTCTGTTGTTTATTTGGTAAGACTGAGGGAGACTTCACTTTTAGTTTTGGAAATGTTTGTTGAACGTTATTAAAAATTGCGGGAAATAACTATGTTCAAAATCTATTTGATATGCTTGTTAAGTGATTTCATTCCATGCTCCTCCTATAGTAAATGCAAAACAAACTAGCCTGCTTAATGTGTGAGGTTAGTGAACTCATGGATTTTTGAAGCTATTCATTCTCTACCATTTAATGGTGTCATCTAAGATTTAGCACTCAGGAGTTTGCATTGAAGAACTCACTATTGTTTTTGGTTTGTACAACAAACTATTACCTTGTACTTCATCTGTGCCATTATCTATATGAAATGATTGAGTGCCTTTTCTCTTGATTGATACTCAAAGAATAGGCTTCTTGGTGTATTTCTGACACCTTACGTTTGGAAATGCTTGTCGATTCCTAACCTGGTAACTGATGAGAGGCACAAAGATCAGTGGCTTGTCATATTGACCTGGGTAATCAATATGCAGGCAAATGAGTGTCCAATCATCTATTTATTAAGCTTTACTAGTTTGTGTCATGTATATGCTTCTTTGTTCAATTATCTTTTATGCTTAATGTTTAGCAGTCATTTTACTCTTATGCCATATGGGCATCCTATTGTTCGATAGTTGAAGTCAGCTAAAACAAATTTTTTTATTTTCATTTATTGGTAGGAGCACGAACCTTGGTGTAAAAGGTACATGGAACTATATAATGAGCTTAGAGAGAATTGGGAAAGACTGTACTGGGACGAAGGTTACTCAAAAAAGGTAGCTGAGGATCATGCCAATTATGAATCTTCTGAAGATGAAGATTCAGACTTTTCACCTTATAGGTATGCTTGAGATAAATAATAATTGCTTTAGTAAATTCCTAACTATTTCTCTTGGAAAATGTATGTGTTGTATCTCAACAATGATGACTTGAGCAAATTGATCCCCCATTGTTGTAATTTATAATAAGTGAAGGTTATAATTATGTCTGGAATGGAAAAATCGATTACCAGAGAAGATCATTTTTCTAAATTATTATTTTGTAATGTTGTCTTCCCTTAAACAATGATTATCCTTCAATTTTTAATATAAATATTTGTGGTGTTTAACTATTCTTTCTTAATCTATTTTACACAATTCAAAGTTTGTACTCATTGTGATAAAGACAACTTTGTTGTGTTTTTGATATTTTACTTTTCACTGAACTTGTTGTGAGGTTTGGATAGTTATGCATTTTTCATTTTCAGTCTGTAACTTGGACTATATGTATCTGTATTGATTTGAGGAGAAGTGCCCAAATTGGAGCTTATCTAAGAATGCAATGTTTGGCAGGCAGTTGTCGAACGCACTTTGTTCCTCCTGAAAATATTGTACATTCAAATGGAATGTACTATACATTCCAGTATACGATATATGAAATCAGGTGTCATAGCTGGAAAATGCATTTGTTTGCTTTAGTAAATGCTACTAAACGTGCAGTATGTTGATCTTGACATGCCATACGTTTAGGCATGAATGTATGACATGTCACCTGAAAAAAATATTATATGATGTTTCATCATACTCATTGTACAATCCCATAGGCCATCTACCTAGATTTTTAGTGTTTTTTAGAGTCCATTGCTGGCTATGCCCTAATATGTAAGTGATACCTTTTATTTATTCATTTCTATACTTGTTAGATATTTATCTTGATAGCTTAAATTCTATTTTCATCGTCGTGAAGATCTTATTCCAAGTGTAAAGCTTGAAGAGTACGAATAGAATCACACATTACTTATTTTGTTTATTCACTTATATTTTATGTAATCTATTTTCTCATCTTCATATCTTTTTATCTGTTTTACCCTCTTTGTGTGTGTTATTGATTTGTTCTTTGCTTTTATTAGTCTTGTTAGTTGTTTAGATTTAGTTTGGCTCAATCTAGACCACTAAACAAATAGTTTTCGAATAAAATTGGAATTCTGGTGGGGCTAGAATCGTTTTATTTTTTTTAATTCATTATGAATGTGAGTTGGGCTAGCTTCAAAGCCCCAAAATTTTCTAGTGTCTAACAAGACAGGGAGAAGTTAGGTTCAATAAACATATTGATGACTTTTTAAGTTATTTAGATGAAAGAGAAAATGGGTTTGGCATGCAACTACGTAAATGAGGGTGGGGAAGAGGATTGAGGTGAGGGTAGTTGAGAGCTTCTCAGATAATTTATTGTTTTGATCTAGGCTTTTCAAACGATTCAAATCAAACTTTTTTCAATCTAGACCATTTACATGCATAATTTGTTGTTTTGGCATGTTTTTAAATTATGAGTTGTTTAGATTAGGGGTGTAAGTGAGTCTCGCCGTCTCGCAAGTTGACTCATTTATGGGCTCATGAGTCAAGCTTATTGAGCTCACGAGTCGAGCTCGAGTTCGAGCTTGATGAGGCTCGACTCGCGAGCCAGTTCGAATCAATATTAATATTTTTAAATAATTTTTATTTTATTTATTAAATGTGAATATTATTAAAAAAGTAATAAAAAATTTTTAATCCCGCCTAAAGGCAACTAATTTCCACTCACATGATAGTATCTAAGCTTGGTGAGCGCCCTACACTGGGGGCAGACAAGGCAAACAAGGAAATGAAATGAAGTAAAGCCTGGGGCGGGCGAAAGAAAGAACTTCAAATCCACCCAATCTCTTAACACCAACTCAATCTCAATCAATGGACGCACAACGATATGCTTGATTGATCATACTACATAGAAAGAATACAGCTTGCTCGTCGCACACTTATTCTATTCTAAAACAAAAATCTACTAAATTTGAATCAAATCCCACTCGAATTCATGACTCGATCGGACTACGGAACTACGGGACTCGAACGGATAACGCAGAGGCAGTTGACTCATTCGGTCGCAGAAGGCGGCCTGGACCGCCGAAGCTCGCGGGCCAGCTCAAGCTCGTTTACAGTGGAACGAGCTCGAGTTCGAGCCGCCTTTCTGACTGACGAGCCAAGCTCGATAGTGTCATTACTCACTCGATTTGACTCATTTACACCCCTAATTTAGATAGAGGGAAAATGGTGTTGGCATGCAACTACATAAAGATGATTGAAAAGATAATTGAGGTGATGGGGTGGAGAGCTTCTTGAATAATTTACTATTATGATCTAGACAACACAAAACATCCGCATCCACATATTTAAACTTTAATTAAAATTTCATATTTATAGGCATCCATTCATTAAATAGTTGAAAAATATGGTTTAATAGTTTAAGTTGCTACTATATTTAAACTATCATGTATATGCTTGTGCTAAAAAAATAATTATGTAAGGATGCATTTCTTTCCAATTCTCTCTATACTTGTGTGTGGTGTTTGCATTCACTTGGTTTAAATTGATTGGGTTGACTTCGATCCCCAACTTGGCCCAACATTTGATAGTCGATTGGGTAACATGTCAATCTTCCAAGTGATTCTTGCCTTTGTCCAAATATGAAATGTGTATGTATATAGGTTAGATTGGATCATGACCCCATTCATGGACATGGCTACCTCATACGAGTGATTGGTGATTGTCAACATGCCCACAATGATTATCTATATCAAGCAATGCTTTCAAGGAACTACAAGGAGTGGACGACGTTATCCTTTTTTTATTCTAATTCTACTTGGGTTAAATTTCTTCACCCTTTCAATCATCTAATTCTTCATTTTTCTATATTTGTATCTTAAGTATGTCACTGTTTGTTTTGCTTATAGTTTCGCCCATGTGTTTGCCTGTATTTTAGATTTTTGAGTTTGCATGCATTCTATGGAAAATTCTTACAAATCTTAGCTCAACATCAAAATTTTCTATCATTGTTTTACATCCCTTATAATCTCCAGGGTGTAATTTTCACCTTGTTCAATATTTTCTGCCTCACTAATATATAGGTACTCTTTCTTTGTTAGTCATTATGAATGGTCTTGATGGTTATGCCTATTCGACCTGCTCACATCTTCTATTTCTCATGGGAGATACGAGCTAGGATTTACAATTTAATATGCATATCTGATTTATTTAATGTTATGCTTGCAGGAGGCGGCGACCTTTTGCAGAAATGAATAAGGTACACATGTTTTTCAACTGAAGTAAAACCATGAGATTTTTCTTTTTGGTTGGTGTTTACTATCAATTTATTTTAATTGATATTTTCATCATTTATTGTTTTTGCGCTTCTGCCACAAAGACGTCTATTCAGTGATGCCTTATGTGGTAACTATAATGGAAAACAGCAAATCTGTTTTGTTTGGATTATTTGTTTTGATCAATTTGAGATCTTGTTTAAGTCTCAAAAACCTGGTTATGATTTGGTTAGCCATAGTAAGTAGTTCGTGTTGCTAACAATATATCTTATACGTGATATTCACAATTTGGTAATATTTTAAGATAAATTTTTATTCTGTTTCAAATAACTACTACATTTGCATCTTTAAGCAACTTCCCTTATTGACAATTATCTTTGTTCCCAATTATTTTCAAGCTATACATTTTCTGTTGCATACATCTCAGATGTACATCTCCGCATGTTATATCATTGGGCAACACTACCAATTGATTGCATCATTGTTATAAATTTATCTTAATTCTCATATAAGTTTTCCTCCTGCTGCAAATACTATAGTGTCAGGTTAAGTTACCTTTGAAAGTGCAAATAAGCTTGAAGTTAGCTGATGACTTCAAAAGATAAGTTTTACTGTCTAACTTGAGCTCGTTTTCACTTGTTCTAGGTATAGAACATTTCCACCACCCTAGCGTGATTTTATGGATAAAAGGAATTATGATGTAGAACGGGTAGGAGGATTGAATCTTTCAGGACCCGCCATTCATGGATGCTTGAAGGTAGAATCTCCTAGGCTCTTGAGGCACTTCTCGAATAGTAGCAAAGAGAAAGAAGATTCTCTTTCAAATGGAGAAAGAATAACTCCTACATTCCCTTTTCAAAATTCTGAGAATAAATTCAGATTTTGGAGTCACCATCTAAGAGAAATCTCAGGATTCTGGGCTTAGGAGCAAGGGGAATTGGAAGGAGCATTCAAGCCTTGATTCCAGCAAGGTGTTGAGTGGGAGAGAGGGAGAGACAACCCAAGAAAAAGAGCATGGGGGAGTTCGGCCAGCAGCAGTGAGGATAGGATAGGGAATATGAGAGGGAGGGGTGAGGCGGGCGACAGGGAAAAGGGGGCTGGCGGAATTGAACAGGATTGAGGCTCTTGATTCCTAAATCCAATATGTAGTTTTAGGAAATAAATTAGAGCCTAGGGAAGAAAGAAAATTTCGGCTAGGCTGAAATTAGGTGGAATTGAAATTGTTTCCTTAAAGCAAGGATGAGGATTAGGAAACAATTAATGATTTAAGCCAATTGGAGATGGGGGCCGGCGGTATCCATAGGGAAAGAGGGGTTTAATGAATTTGATTGGGGTTGCTTGATTTGGGTTTAGAATTTAGGAAAGAAATAATTAAGTCCTCTTTGAATTTGAAATTCAAATAGGATTTAAAATGGAAACTTTCCAAAAATAGACGGCAAATTAGGAAAACTTTTCAATTGTCAAATTTCATGATTTGAATTTGAAAGCTACCCAAGATTTGCTCACCCAAATTCAAATTGATTTAAATTAAATGTTTCCCTAATTTAGGCGAACTAAATTAGGAAATAAATTTTGAATTTCAAATTTAGATAATTTGAATTTCAAATTAAGTCCAAATGTCATTCATCCCAAATTAGGAAACTCAAGAAGGAAGAGGGAAAGGTGAGGCCGGCGGTTAGGGAGCCATGGCCGGCGGTTTTGGACGGGTGTGGTTGGTGGTGGGGATGGCCGGAAGGAGGGGAACGGTGAAGAGGATGAAGATAAAGACTAAGATATGACTACGGGGAGCAATAAGAAGGAACAAACACAAAAACAAAAGATAGAAGATAAAAACCGCGAGCCTTGGACTCTTCCGAAGACTGATGGGTGATGCTTTGCCCTTCTCCAAGAGACATCAATTCACGAGCCCGGACCCATCCTGCGGCTGGTGAAAACTCCGATTACTTCCCATAGGAATCTCACTATCGTCCTCTCAAAAGAACACAAGTGTTGAACACAAATTTTTTTAATATCAATAATCTTTCCCTATTACAATAGCTTAAGACCCTATATATAGGCCACAACATAAGAAAATTCAAAATACAAAATTGCCCCTTGGGCCACAATACTCATATAAACCAACCTAGGGGTAAAACAGGAAATACATCAAATAAAAACTAAAATTCAGAAAAATAACTCATAATTGAAGATTTAAATTGTAGCCGTCGATTTACGACGCCTCCTGTGATAGATGCGCCAAATCTTCGTACCGATGTCCGCATCAAATTAGTTATATTGGCGCTCTTTTGAATTGCGATCAATCACTATATGACATCGCTGCTGCTATTTCAACTGCTAATCAATGGCGGAATTGATGATACTAGCATTATTTTTAAACAAAAGAGGGAAGGAATAATATGCTTTAGACCTTAAGTTACTGGCTTGTTTTTCAAGAAACTAGTCAAGTAGAATTTATATCATTTTTTAATTCTTTCTTTTTAATTTGTATTTATTTTTTATTTTTAACTAAAAGCCTGCCCCATCAAGGGTGATAAGGGGAAAGAAAAGCCAATTGTTACTTTCCGGAAAAGTTATAAAAATATGTTGTATGTGCAATATTTTGGGTGAAGGAGAGAGGTGTGTGTGAGGGGGATGCTGGTCTGCTTCTTTCTTCTATCTTCTTGATGAACAAATTTGAATATGATCACCAGTGGATCTGATGAGTTTCCGTGCTTGGATAGTTATCCAAAGACTGTGAGGTTGATGCTTAAGTTTATCAAATTTAGACTTATAAAATTTTTTGGAGGAAGAAGCCAGATGTCTGTTCGCTATTCTGTCTGGCTGTGTCATATAAACATCATTGTGCTTAATAAGTTATTGAATAAGAAGATTGACTTACTATGCTTTCAAATGGCTTGGAAGAAGGTTGAAATCATTTTTTAATAAAATGTAGAAAGTAAGCATAACTAACTTCCCTATTTGTGACGGTGGGTCATGCCCGGTGCCGTCCTTTGCATTGCTGTATCACACGTCGGAAATGTTTTGGTACATGAAAGAGAATGGTTTTCCTGCACGCTTACCCCGAAAAAGGGGCTACTCGTGGGTGCTTGAAAATGTGGGTGCTGTGCTAGTGTCTCAGTTGTAGTAGTGCACCTGGACGGATTCTTAACTTTTCTGTAGGTTATCTTGCCTAAGATTTTGCATCTTCATTTGATTGTACTGGAGTGATGTCAACCTTCATGTGAAAATAAAATGCCTTTTGTTTGTAGCAAGTTTAGCTCTGAATCTTTATACTTAAAGAAATATTATTCTTCTTGCAAAATTTTTAAGCATAATTGATGTAATATATACTTCCTGAAATAAACTTTTTATTCCTTTTTTTATAAATTCATTTATACCTTTTTTTTTTTTTTCAATTCATAAGGTTTCTAATGCTTTATGAGGTTAATGTGTTCATGTATTTTTATATTATTTTATGTTTAAAGTTAATGGTCACCATTTCGAGATTTTTACTCTCAACTTGGAAACAGTGTCCTAATCAAGACAGTATTGTTCTTTTTGGGCTTTAGATTAGTTTTAAAAAATCATGTGCTTTCTTATGTATAAATGCGTAATATGAATTGACTATTTTTTCTTTGCTAATGACTACAGGATCAGAGTTTTGGTGGACCTAGATCTTCTGATACATGGGAGAATGTCAGACAAATTCGTGACAAATTTGAATATGACAGAGAGAGAAGAATGAGGGAGAAAGGTTAGCACTCTCCATTCAATTTACTGGCCTATTAATATCCTTCTTAAAATTTTAAATAATAAATTCTAGTTTGTTAGATCCCAAAGACCATGGGAATCAAATTGAAGATCGTTTCATTCATCCATATTCTTTTCTATTTGGAAGCACCATCCTTGTCAGTCACTGGCTTCAACCTCTGTTTAATTATTGGCACCTTTTTAACCTCCCCAATCAAATCCACCTTACACAAGTGGAGTTTGAAGTTAATTCTCCTCTCCCATTTCCCTACTACCTTTTCCTTTTCTATATAGCGCTCTTCCTTTTTTAATCTTTACTCTTGCTGAGCCAAGAAGGAGCAGCATAAGGAAGCGTCTCGTTCATCTTTTTTCTCCTTCTACACCTGCCAATTGTATCGTTCATTTTCTAAGTCATTTCCTCACTTCCATCTTCCTCTTTTATTTGAGGCAAGTTAGATCCATCAGTGATGTTTCTGGTGTTGAAGACTTTTTTACTTATTGCAGGATGACAATAGCAAGAGCAGGGTAACAGTGGGATAGTAATGTTCTGGGTTACCCTCTTTCTTGTTCTGTGATTTACCCTCATCTTCTTTGTTATTTTCTAGGAAAGCTCCCTCTCTTTTTTTTTCGTGATGCAGTCAATACATTGATGGTAGTGGAATGATAAATAGCAAGTGTGCAATAATGACTTTTTGTCCTCACCCTTCTCCAGCATTCTCTCTTTCTAATTTTTCAGTAGAAACTCAATAAACAATCTACGAGGCACTCTTTTCACAGTGGAAGATGAGAGATGTGAGAAGGATAATGCTTTTCTTTTTGGAGAGCTTGCCTCATAAAATTTCCCCATCCTTCTCTTGGTCATGGCACACACACAAATCGCGACCGAGGCATCTCAAACTCATTTCGCATGATATTCCGTTAGTTGATAACCGCTGTCATTGCGTGTGCTCGAATTGATTATGGAGCACAATGGAGGCCAACAATATATTTAACACTTTAATCTTTATATTAATTTATCTAATGTAAAACATACTCATTTACTCATATATTTTGATGTAATGTTGATGCTAAAGTGTTATTTAAGTAAATAATAAGTAGATAAAAAATCAAAGTGCTAAATATATAAATACATAAAAATTTCCTCCCAAAATAAAAAAAGATTCTGTAACCTCTGAAATATTTCCTATATGTGTTATCTTATGCACCTGATTTCTTCTTAAACATTGCAGCATTTGCTCCCATGAATGCGGCAGACAATTTCAATCATCAAGGCTCAGCTCCCAGAAACCAACCTTTGGATGCTCGCAAATATTTCCCTTAAAATTGAAGGGATTGAGTAGTTCTGCTGTTCGCTTGAGGTTTTTCTTTGTTACTTGTCAATCCCTGCTCACAACGGTATAGTTATAGCTGATATAATAAACTGATTTATAATCTTTCAATTTAGTAATCTGGTGCTTAAATTTTTTAAGGCCATCAGTCGGATCCTTTTTGAAATTTGTGTTTCTGTTTTTATTGAAATGAGTTGGGATTCGGCATCTTTTTTGTAAAGGTTATTGGTTATAGAATTGTTACAGAAAATTTGTTTTAAAAGCTAATGTAAAAAAACTATTTATTATCCTAAATGATGAGAAAAATAATAAGTAATTAGAAATTGTGATTGCAATCTAAAAAGTAAAATGATAAAAAAGATGCTAATTTTAATGTTATTATATTGATTTATCATTCATGCGAAAATTAGTTTTAAGAGTATTTCCAGTTGAATGTCATTTGTCTGTTTGCAATTCCGGCGAGCGTTCATCTGAATATCAAATGAAAATGCATTTTTATATGTTATCTTTACTGCGAATGGTGCGATGTTAATATTGTCGTAGCCCTATTTATATAAACGTATTTTTGCGGTGTAGAAAAATGAAGACTAAAAATGGAGGTGAGAACGAATATACATAGAATATTTATGAATATGGTTGTTATTATATTTTGAAGTTAAAAATAAATTATTCGGATAGAGATATCCCAAACGATGTAGATGATGGGAATTGCAATAACCCCCTTCGCTATCGTTTTGTAAGATAACTAACCCTTTTGTGTTATTTCTAATTTATGAAACAGATTTATATCTGGAATACGTTAACATGGGATGGGTTTATTTCTGTAGCTGCTTGAAATAATTGAAAGAGATTTTCTTTAAAAAAATTAGAAAGATTCTGATTTGTTAAAGATATTTTTAAATTTTAAAAAGTGATTTTTTAATAAAAAAATCAAATAAAGATATTTTTAAATTTAAAAAATCGAAATGTTTTCTAATAAAAAATGAAACAGGCAATAAAATTTTTTAGTGGTTGTAGTAAACTATGCTTGTGTTAAAAGAACCTGATAATTTCTAACCTTTTTTTTATTATTTTTCTATGATCCTATAATTTCTTATTGAATCTTTTTGAATCCTGATATCATAAAATTAGAGGTGGAAATTCAAGGCTTTGATGGAGGCAATGCTTAATTTTAGCATACTACAATAAAACATTTCACATTGTATTATGAATACTAAGATTTATTTGATACAGCTTTCTTATTATTTATTAAAGCAAGTTTTAGTATAAAAGATTATATTTTTATAATAAAAAATTATTTTAATAAGTAATAAAAAAATCTTCCCAAACAAAACATAAATGATGCTTTTTTTGAAATATCATAATTTATCTTTGTTTTGGCCGACTATCAGAGTTTTAAGTAATTTATTTTATAATTTTGACATTTGTTGGAGCATCTTTCCTAACAACAATCTAATTGTCCCTTAAACTGTAGAGGAATTTTACTGTAACAAAATGGCTCAAAGAATTTTATTGAATCAGCATTCTAAACTTCTGGGAATATGATTCTTTATGCTCAGCTACCAACATTTGGTTAATGCTAAATAAATGATGAATGTAATAAGTATATTTTATTAGACCTGTAGTTTTCGAATGGAAAATGATACAAAGGCTGGCGGAGAACAAAATTAAGATACCAATCAATAGGTAGCTTTCTGCCTCATCCATTTTGTAGCTGACCACTTCTCTCCCTTCAAAACTGGGCATCCTCCATGGAGGCTGTTGTGATCGGATTCCCCATTTAGACCCTGTAAACAAGATGCCTTCTCTTATCAATGGCGCACACACAATAACTTCTATTTTTATTTTTCTTAATTGGTCAATCAACACATGTAGAAAAAGGAAGGATAAATTATTCTGTGCGGATTCCAGATTGTCCGGAGGCGAATCACAACACATCACGTCACCCAGTACCCAGCAAACGGGTGACATTGCGCGCTGTGATTTGCCTTTGAACGGCGTCCGGAATCTGCACGGAATAATTAATCAAAAGGAAGGGCAGCACAAACCATGCTCCAAAATAGTACAGCATCTCCTTTATTTGGCTTTATGCAAATTCCTCTTACCATCTCCCCACCACAACTACATTGTCCATCTCCAGCCTGAGGTTAAAATCAAATCAGGGTAAAGAAACATCAAGGCTTTTTATAGATCAAGTTAATGGAGAAAATGGAAACTGGCCGTTAAATATAGCATTAGAAAGAGGTTTAAAGAGAAAAATACTCTATATGAGCCACACGAGTTAAATCCATCAATCACCAATAGGTTCATAAAGAGTTACATAAGATAGGAGATGGCTCAAGAAGGGAGGAGAAGGCTATCACTGGAACTGGCAGGTAGTTTCTCCGCACAAATGGTACAATTACAGTGCAACCTCAATGAACAACCCAGAAACTTAGGTTGGAATTAGTAATAAAAAAATCAGAAAGAATTTATGTATCCTGTTGGCAATGCATGCTTAACCTGGCAGATAATTGAAACAAATACAAATACGCAAGGCCGTCCAGCAACTAATGACGGAGTAATCTTTTTATAAAGTGTTTGATGGGTGATGCTTAGAAAATCACCAAATTAGTTAGTTCAGAATAGCCATTCCCAAAATCAAGAAATATGCTCTCAATCCATTCCAATATTAAATATTTCATTGAGCCATGGAATGATGTGCCGCTGCTGCTCGTTGAGGATGGTTGCATTCATTGATGATGACATGCTGCCGTTCACTGACAGTATTCTACTCACTGACATGAACGCATACGGCTTACTAAAGAAGATGGACCTGAATTGTCAATAAATATACATATTGCTCATTGAAGATGGGACATTGCTCTTTGTTATTAATATATGTTGAACTTGATGGCTGCTTGAAGGTCGACTTGATCAAGCACAACAAAAGTGGCAAGTGAAAGATGTCACATCACGTAAAAGCCGCCCGAAGCGCATCGACCAAAAGTCAAAATTTTCCAAATGATATCCATTCTCGGAAGGAGCAGCAACGATGCGTTCAAGATAGTAGAAATAACTTAAATAGACACCTATATTTCTTAGGGTGTTTGCACGTGAAAACAAAAAATAACTATACATGCGAGGTGAAGACACAAATGTTCATTTGTGCGAACAACATAATTTTGCAACAAAAATAAAAAATATATAATAAAATAAAATTATATATATATTATTGTTATTCAAAAGTTAAAACCTCTCATCCCACAGGACCCACACTCTCCCATACTCAAGCGAGATGTCATATGAAAAAATTCCTAAATCTAAACCCCCAGTCGCTCTCACGCTCACTATTTCTCTCTTCTTGCTCGCACACCACGCGCTCCCAGCCCTCCTCTCTTCTTCCTCTACTCGCACATGCTAGCATTGCTAGCCAAGCCTCAAGACCACCATCAACCTTTAGCCCTAGCTAACTGCCTCCATCCCTCTCCTTCACCTTGCCAAACCTCTATGCCAGCACCTACAGCTTACCGCCGCACCACATCCGACCGCTACCAGTTCCAGGTTGTCACTACTGTACCCCTCTTGACCTTGCTCTTCATCACGCCCTAGCACTACCACGACCCTGTCGTCTCACTCTCTCACATGCGAGCCCAGTAACCCAGTGCCGATGCACAAGGCATGCTACACCTACCACTAGTATTGCTAGAGCAGGGATTCGATCATGTCCTATGATTGACATATTAAGCCTTTATTGATAACTTGATTTGGAATTCTATACTTGACCGGAGTAGGGATTCAATCATGTCCATCAACCAATTAGTCCAAACCACAAAATGGACACCTCGTTATCAGAATTTTAAAATTCGATTAAACCAAAACCATCCAAATAAACCGAACTATATTGCAATTCGGTTTGGTTTGGTTCTTCTGTTGATTTGGTCAGTTTGTTTTCACCTATAATTTGATTCGGTCCAATTTGGCTTAACACATTCCTCTATTGATACATCAAAACCAACTAAATGCATACCCTAGCAGTTGAGCATGCTAGCTTGAGGCATGCCAATCAACCATGTAGCTATTTAGTCCTATCCTTTAGGTTGTTTGTAAGAAAGTCTTCAGTAGTCCACACCCTACTTAGCGAAATAACGCTAACTAGGCCCTCTAGTAATATATCCGCCTCAAATGAAGCCTGAGTTATGGGATTAGGAAGCCGTAAATATTTCCATGTGTCACAATTATTAAAAACCCGGCCTTCGAGTCAGAATAAGAAAAGGTACTAGAGATTGTCCTTTATGTATATCTTGATCACTGTCTGTCTTAATCAAGATGATTCTAGATATACTTGCTTGTCTTATTTAATTAAACATATTTTTTCTTCAACATACTTATCTTTTTCTAGGATTTATTAGACATTGCACTTGCATTTGTATACCCTAGGGATATTTGGACATTCCAATCTGGCAAAGTAAGCCATAAACGTCATCTCTTATAAATAGACATCTTAGGGAAGGCAACAGACAATTTCTGAAGAATGAAATGAGATCTCAAAAGCATGTGGTTGTACACTCTTCATCCCTTCCCAGTTGAGACTAGTTCTCCTTTCTGCTTCAATCCTCTTATTCTCTCTTCTAGCCAAATCCATCAATTATGCAAGGTAGATCAATGCATGTTAGGAGAAGAAACTACACATTAAGAAGCACAAAGAGCCACATATGAGTGTGCAGTTCGCTTCTTGAACCACTAATTAATAATCTCATTACTTCAGAGAAGGAAAGTATTTCACATAAATTGAGTGATATAGGACAACAAAAGTTATTCTAATATACTTTCACGAGTTGTAATTAATATTTGGAGAAAACGTATTTTCATGATAAGTCAATTTATGTATTAATGAATAAAAAAGTTTTAGAGTCATATTGCTTAAAGAACTAGTGTACTTGCTATGAAAGCATGCTTGGATAAAGGAAGAGTATTGTTAAGGATTTGAAGTAAACTTGAAGTAGTTTCTTCGTGAATATTTGAAGTGGTCTTGAAATTGCTTCTCCACGAAGTATCTTGAATTGAAAATGATATTTGTTCCAAACCAAATAATAGATAAGATGAAATATCATTTTCAATTCATGAACCATTGAAGATGAAAAATCAATATAATGAAGAAGAATAAAAATGCATTTAAATCATGGCTTTATGCATTATCTTAAGACTCCTTATCTCTTAAAATTCTATGCTTTGTATTTTACGTTTGCCCTTATGATTGAAATAAATATAATATTAAGTTGATATGGATTACTTGCTTTGTTAACAATGTGATAGGTGAGACAATATTCTTCTCCTTGTGGAGGACTTAGTAATCCATTATTATAATTATATTTGAAATTCCATTTCTCTCACCATCTTTAAATTATGCAGAACCATATCAAAAGTTACAGATTATACTTGACTTGCCAAATGCCGAGAAAAATTCACAGCACAGTTGGACAAACAACTTCCTTTGACCACCAAAAGTTGAAAAAAACAAGTGATTCAAAGATATTGACAGAAACTGGAAACAAAGGGAAATATCCTTATAAGAATCAGAGTATGCAATATGCGGCATTAACTCACCATAGGAAAGTGCGTTTCACCCCCTTCAACTTCATCGTTTAGATACATAAGCATTGTTGCTACACGTTGCCCACCACGCTTTAAGTTAAACTGCATTCAAATTATATACTCCACATGGACATTTAATAAATTTATGATAACGGAGGAAAATTTAGGAGAACTAGAAGTTATTAAATAACCTACAGTGTCGGAGAAGTAATCATGATGCGGCCTGTACTGTTGAGAGACTTCATACCTGTAACATAGAAAAGGTTCGGCTAATCAAGAACGTAGTTTGGAGAACAGAATATGTTTATCATGTATAAAAAAAAAAAGGAAAGCAGTCTTGGATCTTTGCCTCAGAACTTGAATAAGCTCTCCATTTTCAGCAGGTATTTGAGAGAAAACAGCAATCCGCCTTTCAATAGCCTGATTTGACAACCAGAAAGAATGTTCAAGTCAAGGTAATGGAAACCATCTTTCCCGTAACATTCATACCAGTTATGACTAGGCAAATGGGAAGTCAGAGATAAAGACATAATATATAAAAAATAGATCCCTATGGTTTGCGCATCCTGAAAGCTTTATCTTTTCTGTCTCTAAAGCAACTAAAGAAAAAAAAGAAATTAGAGCTGAAGGCCGCAGGTATATTCTAATTATAACCGTCGTTTCTGGCATCTTGCTTACAAGTCCACAATTTCAATTTAAACCGGCATGTTCCTCTTAGCAGTATGATAGTTGAAAGTTGAACTAGATTGCCAGTCACCAAAAGCTAATTGATCCTTTTAGGCTCTTACCATGAAATAGGCTCATGTGAACAAGGAAATGTTGTTTGAAAAATTGGCCTGGATAAGGTTACTAATTTCTAAAGCCCTCTTCCTTGTTTGAAATGAAAGAAAGAATTTACCTATCTTGTTAGGTGTAAATGACTTGATAATCAAACAAGACCTAACTATATATTTCTAAATTGATTTTCTAGTACACCGCACAGTTTAAGGAAAGTTGGTGGAGAACCTGTTAAGAAAACCTAGAGCCAACATACTGAATTTTTTCCAGCAATTTTTTTAGTATTGTACAGCTACATATGCTCCCATTCAACTAAGTTCACCAAGGACATTATTTATCAGGTATGATGGTTTCTTTGTTTAGCATTGGATCGCAGTAAAATAGCGTCATGAGGCATATGTGAATCTTCACGCTCACAAGCATGGATTACTTATTAACACAAACTATCCTCCTATCAGAGAACTGGAAAGCAATGCAGAAGAGGATAAAGCTAGTAAACATAAAACTCAGATAGCCTATGTTTTAGATTCTACGAATATAGTTAGAGAGTGGTTTTACTAGGGTTATATAATTTTACATTTCATTACGACCTGTACAATTTATGTGGCTGTTGAAGGCAAACAAAATGCTTTAACATTTTCATGCACAAGAAAACGAACAGAGCAATAAAGACAAACTAGCAAAACTTAAAATGGAAGATAACCTGAATAATGGGAAATTTTCTCTCTTCTGAACTCAAAAACATACCAGAGCTCGTACGTACTTCACTCTTAACTCCCTGAAGATGTAAACAGTGTTAGATAAAGACATTAAGTAATGCATATACCAATAAATGTAGTAGGTTTTAGGAAGGGAATATGTTTCATATACAGATCATTATCTTGTGTTTCTGTACGACAGTAGAAGAGAAGAAATTGTTCAGCTGATGCGCAGTGATATTAGCTACTGCCAAAACATTATTCAAGCTACAAGCACTAATAAAGTATTATAGTTCTACCAGCTTACAAACAGATTTTTCAATTACCTTAGAACAGAAAGTTATATCTTTACCATAGGTTCAGCCAGCGCTACAATAGAGACCCAAAGGACCATTGGCTTCGCCAAAGAACTCATGCTAAGCTCAATTAAGTTTATGGACACCCTCAATTTCACCTCAGTCAACCCAATCTAATCAATTGGAACCGGGCTTAGATTTGGCTCACTAGCCCACCCAATTGGTCCCATCCAGCCTAATTAAATGATGAGGACATCAACAAAAGATTTCTACATGTGCATCATCGACGGAATCGTAGATCGACGGCTACAATCCAAAGTCTTTACTTTTGATGTATTTTATGTTTTATTTATTTTGCATTTCAGTTTTCCTAGTTTATCCCTATGGGTAATGAGTTCTTATTGTAGCCCTGAGGGCATTTGAGCATTTCTTCTTTTCTTTATTATTTAGGCCTATATATAGAGGTCTTGTGCATTGTAAGAGGTTAATGAATGATTAAATGAAATTTTCATATTTGTCTTCTTCTTGTGTGTGCACTTGAGAGAGAAGAAGCCTAGGAGAAGCTCAAAAGAAGTACCCAACAGCCCCTTCGGGTGAGCTCTTGATTTTCCCCAAAAACTTCTTCTCTTTTTTTCTTTCCCCCACCACCCGAACCCCTTCTTCTCTTCTCCCACCTGTCGGCCCACCTCAGCCCCTCTAACCTCAACCCTAACTCCACATCCAAACTTCCACCCACCGGCCCAAATCACCTTTCCCTCCCCTACCCGACGCCATCCCTACCCCCTTCCCCATTGTTGCCGGCCCACCCCCATGTTCTCCATCATAATGATGATTTCACTCATCATAATGGCTTTCCTAAATTAATTCAAGCAAGAAAGTAAATGATTGAGAATTATTTGAAATTCAAATTTGAATTTCAAAAATTTTCCATAATTGCAATTTCTAATTTAGGAAAGTTCATAAACCTAAATAATCTCATTTCAATTTAAATTAGATTTGATTTAATGTTCCCCTTCTTAAATTAACTCACTTGTTTTGGAAACTCTTAATTCCTCCCCAAAATTTCCTCCTCCCTTCTCTAGATCCCGTCAACCCCTCCCTTGCCCATGCTTACTCTCTATACTTCAAATCCCTAATCCCAATTTGAATTTGAAATTAAATTTCAAATTCAATTCCCACCCAAATTACTTGAATCTAAAATTAACTTCAGATTTATTCATAATCCCCTCACCCAAACCCTAAACCTAACATAGCCCACAAATCCTCCTCCTCCTTGGCCCCTCCTCTCCCCTTGTTTCTCTTGGATACCCTAATTCTTTCATGAGTTTTAGAGCAAAGAAAATAAGACAAACTTCCTCCTCCCATCTACCATTAGTGCATGGCCGACCCTGAGGTCGATCACGGATTCTTATACATCGCTCAAAGAGAAATCGACATCTTGCAATCCCCTTTCTTTTATCCAGACTGGGAATACGATGATTCAGCGGAAAGCTACGTAAATTGCATACTCTATCATCTCGCTGAGACGATTGATGAACAACGACCAACGGAACATTGACAAATCGTCAGCTGGACCATCAACTTCCTCTCCTCCGGCTACTTCTCTGACGAACAATACCTTACGCGTCACTTGTCTTGTGGTGGCATCACTAGGGTTACTTCTACCCTTTCTCCACTAAACCCCAATTTCAAGAGCGAGAGTGAGGGAACTCAGGGTGAACACTTCTCGTTGTTAAACCGTGGATTTTGTTTCATTGCCATTAGTTTTACTTTCTTATTTTATTGTTACTTGCAAGTATCCTGTTAATCTCATTTGTAATCGCTTGCTATTACATAAACTTCTAACGGAAATTTCTAAGAATCTAACTTGGTGAAACATAAGTTTACGATTAGCAATGTTAAAGTTCAAATTATTATTAAGTTCCAAAACCAATTCTTGTTTACTTACATGTTTCACATCATTAATTAAACCTATGGCTACGAACAATTCCCCTTTGGCCCTAATGAGACTGAGCTTAGTCAAGCCCATTTTTGAGCTCGACTTGAGTTCGAGCTCGAGCTCGAGCTTGGTATTTGACAGTTGAGCTCGACTCAAACACCCTCTGACTCGAGCTCGACTCGACTCGTTTGCACCCCTAAGTTCAATGCTCTAAACATGTCGATGCAATCTGTTTCTTGAAAATATTGAGGCATTTGGAACTCATGACGTGTGTCATCATGTTATATGTCATCCTTCTCATCACACTCGTTGAATTCGATTTGAAAGTGTATATGAAGGTCAACAATACCGTAAGACAATACACACTTAGCGAGCATATCTAAGCTCAAATCAACTAATATAACATGGTTTTAATGAAAAAGGATCAAGAATTATAAGTTAGTTGACTCTCTCTCCCACCATTTTGATACCCCCCAAAACAATGGCCAAATTTCATATTATGGATGTAACCCCTCAATCATTTTATCAATCACGACCCTTCCATCCGAATTCTTTGGGACAATCATGATTGCACAAGCATGAGATAGTCACATCTTCATTAGTGCAGGAAGTATATGCTCGATGGAATCAAGCACTATATCAACATTGATATAGCATGAGGTGGGCATCTACAAAGATATGAAGCACTGGGTTAGTAAAACAAATGACTCAATGCTTGAAAAGGAAACTTTGACTAAAGCCCTTCCAATCCTTTAACATAGACAAAGTTATCTTTTATCAATAGAATCATTTGGCGACCACAATATAAAAGAAAATATAGGGGTAGATTGCACCCTAAGGCTAGTGTAGAATTTTTATAAAGTATTGATGCCACCTTATTAGTGTCCTTGGCACAAAAGTCAATCCTATAGATCTCCAGCGATATTATATTGGTGACACTGATCCTACAATGTCAATTACAAGAAATAACCCCGATCATAGGAAATGCAATGATAAAATTGAAAATAATTTTCACTAATTCAGACAAGTGATGCAAAGAACATGATACAATGATGTGTTGGTAAACCACAATTGAGGTTAAGAAATAGAGCCCTTCAAGGAAAAAATTGAACAAAAATAATGTAAAAACACTATTTTACCTAAAATCCTTAGCCATAGCATAAAACTATCTGGAACGAGGATGGATACACCACAAAAAAGATGAGACAAATGGGCACAACTATTCAAAAAGATATGAGACCGTAGAGTCTCAACTCATGTCTAAAAAGTGGATAGTTGAAAGACAAGGCCTGGGCTAAATCAATGATAAGCATTCCTTACTTTGACAACTAGTTCTTCATCATAGGGATCTTCGAAGTCGTCAACACCTTCAAACAAAATGAGCTAGGCACCGTGCTTCTTCAGCAAGAGATTTAGAGTGTTCCAAAGAATTAAGAAAATGAGGGGCAGGATATCATCAATGAGTTAAAAGAGGTCAATATGAACTCAAAGGAAGATCCTCTCTCTGCATTCATCAAAGCTCTAATTCCCAACTACTAAGTCAATATACTAAAGAAGCTCCAAGAACTATATTGAAATGACAAGATGAACACTTGAAGTGACAATACACAAACAAGCCAACATCCCAAAGAGGTTCATATTACACAAACCTTGAAAAGAATGAAACCAAAGATTAAAAAAATATGTGATTGCTGAAATGAAGAAACTCATCTGTGGGGAGATGTATCCCACACGAGTTGTCAACAATCCCTATGAGAAAGGAATGATGAGAACTATGCATGCATAGAATTTTGGAATCTAAATAAGTCAAACCTAAAGGAAGATTCCTGTCCTGTTGGATCTTTACGATCGACAATATGTCAAAAACACATGACATATTTTTATTCAATAGACGAGTCATCCAAGAAAACAATAAATCAAGACGGTGCCAGAACATGATAAGACACCACCTTCTAAACTCCAATCAACCTTTAATATTATAAGGTAATGCCATTTGACCTCAAAAAAATCAAAGTCACCTACTAACGAACTATGAACCACATATTTAATGACCTCGCGCATAAACAAGTAGAGTGTTATATTGATGATCTTGTGGCCAAAATGTCTCTTCTAAGTACCACATCAAAGAACATGTCGTGCATTCAAGGTTTCCTCAAAGAAATTACTAAGCTTCGTGATGTACCATTTAGAGATCAAAATTAGCCCCTCGAACAGATAATCATAGAGATGTTGTGTCAAAGAAATCTAAAGCCTTATGGTCACTCCAAGGCAAAGTAGCCTACATCAGATGATTCATATTTAACCTATCAGATAGGTGTTAATCTTTTTCAAATCTGATAAAAAAGGATGCCATGATCAAGAAGAGCTTGGAATGTGTAGAAAATTTGGCAACATGCAGTGACATGATGTTGCATTCATAAAAAGTATTGTATTAGGAGTATATTAAAATAACACAAGAATGAGATCCATAAAAAATGAATGCCAAATGTTCATCTTTTCTTAATTTTACATAATTTTAGTTTAGTGAAGATAAAAGAGTTAAAAAAATCTTTAATAAAAAAAACCTAAGCTTTGCATAATAATTTATTATGGCCAACTTTTGGACGTAAAAACACCATTATATAGGGAGAAATGCTTGCTTTAAACAGTAAAACAGTAGAAACTAACATGGAGTTCTGGAAAAATGACAGAATGGATGCAGTTACCTTCCCTGTTTTGGCATCTACGACAGTAGAAGTTTGAAGGCGAGGTCTTGAAAGTGCTTTCAAATAATCACATTCCTGCATGGATCCTAAATACTTTAGGCTTCTGCAATACCAACATTATCATATGGAATAGTAAAAAAAATGTATAGTGACCATTTAGACTTAGTGTTGTCACAATAAAAAAATTCAGAACTAAGTAGACCCTAAACTAATGCAAAACGCATGCTTAAATTCTGAAACAAATTCCTATAATGGATAGCCTTTTAGATATTGAGAAACAATTTTTTCTGATTGTATCCCCATCGACCAGATGCAAATAAGCAGTTCACAAAAGTCCATCCAGATCATCAGCATTGATGACACTAATGATAATGACGTTGCTATCAAGTGCCGATGCTGCTTGCAAGACAAATCAAGTCATCCTTTCCATAAAATGGCTCTCATTGATACAAACTAATTCTATAGCTGAAGCTGATTCCTTGATCTACATGATGCAAAACACATTTGGATTTCTTTTAATTTTCTTCGTTTTGCTTTCATCTAAAAACAACCTACTTTATTCAACAGGTGTTTATGCTGAGTTAGAATATTGTTAATTTTTGTTAGTTACACAAGCTTATTGGATTCTACAAAATGTTCACATTTTGTAATTTATGATGTTTTTGAAGAAAAATGCTACAGTTGCATTGGGTGTAAATTTGTAATCGGGCTAGCTTAGGCCAGATTAAAGTCATATTATCATTTATTTTTAATAACATCTGAAATATAACCCCTGACCCACTCAAAATCATTCTCAAGTTGGTTTGAAATATAAAAATTTCAAATCAATGCATCTCAATGCAGGGGTTTCAGTTATTTCTAATGATATTTGAAATTTGCAAATTCAAAAAATTTCCAGATTGAGTTAGCATGGTTAATGTGAATCCAACTCATTGCCTCCTCTGCTCTAGTGTACATGTTACTAATAATACTTGTACAAAAAGTATGATCGATACAATCCCCGTAAAATGGTATGGTATCATAATTAAAGAAGTAGCTGTGAATTAGTTTAAGCTGTTGCAATTACATAAAAGCTAAAAGCTAGCACAGCTGATTTTAAGATCAGATAACAATGATAGCAGAGAGGCCACCTTAAACTTGCTGGGTGTGGACATTACAATTTCCTGCATCGAGAAATATGCTAATTGTTGTGTATGGTCGATCAAAAATCATGCTAAATATGCTTTTAGTTTAGCATACAGAAAAAGCCATGAACCATAAGATGCTCAGATCCACAGGAACCAATTTTGTACTTTGTGTTTTGTAAGAATTTAAAATTTGACCATGAGGAAGTAAGTATTCACTTCTAAATGAAATGTTCAAAGAAAAAATTAACTTGACTCTGACTTCTTTTTATAAACTACCCATAATTTAATTTTACCATGAAAAAGGACAATAATTGCAAAAACTGTAAATAAGGGAAAAAATTTGTCTTACTTTGCAAGCAACCAATTTTGTCATACACGTCAGAGTTTTTAAAAGTCAGCATAAATGTTTGTGTTTCTTGAAACCTTGATGTATCACTACTAAATTTTCTTATGGAACCCTAGTATACGCATTGTGTATGCTATACTAGTAATACTAGGGCTGCCTAAAAAACTGCAGTAGTAATACTAATGTTTTAAGATACCCAATCATGTTGCCAGAGTAATAGGGCAAACTATTGTCCTTGTTTGCAAAGTAATATAACTTTTATCCTTGCCCATAAAAAGACAAAATCATATGGAGTTTTATACAAATAACTCTATTCTATTTGATCTTAAAGGAGAGTAAAGATCTTGATATGAAGGCAATTCAATCATATAAATTCAAGAAGTGAAAGCAATAAGCAAGTTCAAATACCTCTCAAGTCAATGCTAGATGCTTTCCCAAATAAGTTCAACCAAATAAGATAAAAGGAATAGAGATCACATAAAGATGGAGGCATACCACAAACAAGTGAAGAATATCTATTTTTATGAAAAATAGATCACTTAGTACTTACAAAAATGTGTCATTGTAATTCAAGAGCTCTGATAGCTAAAAATTGTGTATTTGTAAAGAAGAAAGTTATAGCAAGTACAATTTATACCTCAGTGCTTAAGAAATTATGAAAAAGAATTATCCGTGGTGACCAGCTCATTACTTCCGGCTTGACCTAAACTAGAAAAAATAATAGAGTAAGATAAAATTGTTAAACTTTAACAAATATAAATTAGAGAACATTATTAGAAATTATCTCCTTTTGATTAAATAACAGTAGAAAAATAAGCACATGTTTTTCACCGAGTTTAACCTAACAAAAGTGAAATTTGGAAATATCTTCTCATCCAATGGGTCGAGAAAAAACCACACCAATCAAAGAGGATGAGCTTTTTAAATACAATTAGCAAACAGGCTCTCTACATCGAGTTTAAGGGGCATTTGAATAGGGACTTATTATGATCCCCAATCAGTCGTTTGATCAAATTGGATACCCCACTCATATTCTTGGCCCCAGCTGGGCCATCCATTTATGTTGTATAGGCCAGTATCATTTTAGGCCAACAATACAGGTCAACCAATAGAAAGTCACAGCATTAGGGGCTACGACCTAGCTAGAGGAAAGCATCCCAAACTACTCCATCAGATTACCAGAAAGGCATGCAACAAACAAATTAAAAAGCCAAAAAGAAAATGACAAGAAATAAAAGAATAAAAAGAAAGAAAACCGGGAAAGAGTGCATTCAATGAAAGAAAATGACAATAAATAAAAGAATAAATAGTCAAGCATGCCTCAGAAACACTAGTACAAAACATGACAATTATCGACTACTTACCAATCAGCACAATATACCGTTGTAGCTATCTTGGAGATTACAGGTTATGCATGGTGCAACCTTAACTCGTACGACTATCTATTTAGATTTTTTTTAAACTTAATTTATATTTTTTGCATGTTGCTTTGTTGTTGAGAAGATGCCATAAATTTATCCATAATCATACACCATATAACACCATTTTTAGGGCATGGCATAATTATAAAAAAATTGATAGATAATCTCCATTTCTCCACTATTAAAACTCCCTGCATTCATTTTGTCCATCGTTTCTTGTCTAAAAAGAAAAATGAGCATCGCTATATGTAAGGAATGAAAAAACTCTTGACTATTCCAACAAGTAGAATCAAACTATATGTACAACAAATAGCATAAAAATACGTAATTTTCAGTCAAAATGAAAATGCAATCCTTTACGAAGGAGCAAAGTGTGATGGCGTACTATCATTATTTCCTTTCCATATCATATATAATTTGTCTAATAGTACTACCTCTTCAGAACTAGAACCCCCCAATTTTCCTACTTGATTCAGCAGTCTTATAAAAATAAATTTTTGTAGTAGAAAAATAAGCTAGTCAATTAGACAAAGAAGACAGTAAATAGAGTTTGATCAACTTAAATTTGAAACCAGAGAAATTTTAATCCAGTAGGTCTATTCATAATAGTAAAATACTAGATTGTGCTTTGAAAGAAGAGGCAGCGGACATAAGAGATTCACAATATGAAACGTAATAAACAACATTTAGATGAAAATTTTGAAATATACAAATCCAAGTCGAAGAGTTGCTGCCTCTTTGTCATTCTCCCAATGAGAAACACCAGCGGAAGTGAAAACCTGAAAGAATCATCATTTGTTAACAAAGCTTTCAATCAGTGGTGTTAAAGCTGATCTAACTTCAACAAACAAATGCCTCGAATAAAAAATACGTCTTAAATTTCATAATTGCTTATCACAAGACAGACTTTTTCATATTTATTGTGATGCTGAAGCAACATGACAATGAGCAAAAAATAAAGAAATAAAAGAGAAAGTGAAACTTAATTTCCCTCAGATTATTCAAAATAGGAGATGCCGAAAATCCTACAGAATTCAAGATCCTCAAATTTTCACAATTCAAAATAAATTAGCTTCTATTGACTCAAAACGTTTAATGCTTGGCTCCACCCAACCATTCCTACCCACCAGGCATTCATAAGGTCAAATCATATGTCTATTCAAGAGAAAAACTTTGCAACAATATGATCAAACATGGAAATCTATATTATAAGAGGTGGAGCTAATGATTATGTATCTCAATGCTAAATAATATATTACATCAATCTGATGGTAATTGAGGGTAGGCTGGGAGTGATGGTTAAATTACCTATACTATAATTTACATGTGTCAGGTTCAATTCACAAAAATAGCCTATATGCAAATACAAGGATAAGGATGTGTACATCAACCAGTCCCCACACCATACATTAGCTGGAGCTCCATGCACCAGGTATGCCCTTTTCTAAATCTAATGGTAACCAGTGCATTGCATCAATTTCCATGAAAGAAACCATATATTTTTGCGTTTTTTTTTTTATGAACTTTATTAGAAACAATTATATCTATTTATTAATTTTTTTGTTGATGATAATGAATTAAATTAATTATTCGAAACAGCAATAACTTCCAAAGTACTTAAAGGAAAATATTTGATATGGATTAAAAACTGATGAGGACATCATCAGCATTTTCGAAACGAGTACCATCAGGAGACGCCAGAGATCGACGACCATGATCATGAGTTTTATTTTGAATCATTTTATGTGGTAGTTTATTTTATTTTCAATTTTTTCCGCTTTTGCCCTTATGGGTATTTGGTCGCTATTGTAGCCCAAGGGGCAATTTAGTCTTTTGTTTTCTTTGTCATTTGGAGGCCTATATATGGCCCTTTTCTTATGTAATAGTTAGTTTTGATGAATGAAAAATTTCTACTTTTGATCTCTTTGTGAGTTCATATTTTCTTGATCTCTTGGTGAGTTCAACTCTCCTAGATCTCTGTGTGAGTTCTATGGAAAGCCCAAAGTGGATTATTGTTTCTTCCCATAGCATTACTCTCTAATTCTATGTTGCCAATTTGATATTGTCCCGTTAATCTAGTTATAACCGCATGCCTTACTTAATTTCAACTTGATAATTCTGAAAACCTAACTTGGGTAAGCATTAATTCTATAACTAGCAAAGCTTTAAAAATCTTATATTAAAATCCCCTAGCAGTTCTTGTTTCCATGCATCACGTTTCACATCAAAAAAAATATAAAATCCTTCAAATAAGAACTTCTTACTAAGTTATTACTGATGCATTAAAAACTGAATTCCACGACATGTAGATATGCATTACATAACATTTACATGAATGATACAGATATTGAGATAGGCTGAATAGCATGGAAAATGGAACAAGAATACTGTTGTATAAAACGCACATACTCTAATTACATAAATATATCCATTTCATTAGAGTTTAGTATCTACCCTTATTTTTTGTTCACATCATATTAGTTTATCATGCAGGGTAAAACCCATGTAACAGGCCGATAATAAATCCAGCAAAGAAAATACTACATTTTTACATTTATGAAATCTAAACTCATAGACACTAATTTACAATCAGAAATGGGAAATTGAAATAATTATACTAGTTATATGATACATGTTCAAATTTTCCAGAAATTAAAAAAAAAACTGAGAAGAACTATCTCTAAATAAAAAAATGACATAACCAGAATTGGGAGGAAATGAGTTTATACCAGAAGGAACCTCCAATCTGTGGATAAATTCCAGCTGAAATAAAGAACCTGCAAGTAACAGATATCAACTCCTCAGGCCAAGTTTTTAATATTTTGACAAAGATATGAATAATAAAGGGTATATCAAAGTAAAATGAAGCAGAAAACTGAATCTTTATATACCCCAAAGCAATGCATTCTTTGGAAACAAAAAGGACTTGCTGAATTAGAAAATAGGTCAACTAAACATACAACGCTGTTATTTTAGGTAAGTATGGCAAGTATTTAAAATAACACAAACCAGCACAAAGATATGTTGGCGACACAGCTAGACACCATTAACATCATGCTGACACATCCGCGGATAAATAGAGATTGCAAAACGCAATGACATATCAAGAAGAGGAAGTGTGGTTATGATCTGCGTGCTCAGGTTACTGACAGCTAGTCAAATCAAAACCGAAAGCAATGAGACTGTTACAGTTCAAAATGGTGGTCCTTTCCAGATTTTGGGATATATATATATAAAAATTCAATATAACTAAAATCAAGAAGAAAAAGGGAATCATCTGAAAAAAGGAATTTCATGTAAGGTGCCCTCTGATAACAGATAGCTCCAGGTCTACTAAGATCATTTTTCTTAATTCTCAAAGTGTTGTATGCATGCTATCTAGATATAAAACTAGCAACTTACAGTATACAACATAAAAGGAAAATAGTAAAGACAAAGTATTCATTTTACTATTATAGGTAAACCTATTAATCAACAAGGTGTTTCAGGCTGATTTTCAAATGATGTGAAGCAACAAAAAGACCAAGGCAAATTACTTTTTGATTCACATGTCTATCTTCTATTGAAAGAATTGAAGAGGCATCTATTGAGGGCACAACAGATTATGCAGAAACCGACGGATGGGCACAGGAAGAATATTCAAATTGAAGCAGGGGATAAGGTGTTCCCGAAGCTTAGACCTTACAAACAGAGGACGATTGCTAACAGGAGAAATGATAAGCTAACTTCAAGATATTTTGGGCCATTTGAGGTATTAGAGAGGATTGGAGAGGTGGCATACCGGCTGAAATTACCAGCAACAGCAACCATACATCCCGTTTTCCTTGTATCACAACTGAAGAGGGCAATTAGGGATCATGCAGCGAGTTCTGAGCTACCAGGAACATTGACAGAGGACTTGGAGGTGGTGTTGGAGCCCTTAGAGTTGATGGGGGTTTGCAGGGAGATGAGGGAACTAAGAAAGTTCTGATCAAATGGAAGAGCCTATCGGACTCGATGCCCATGAGAGCTTTATGAGAGGGTGAAGCATCAGTTTCCCTCTTTTCACCTTGAGGACAAGGTGATTCTTTGGGAGAAGGTATTGTTAGACCGGTCCATCATCCTCTCGAATTGAAGATCGATTGTATCTTGGTATTTTCCTTCTGTTATCTTGATTGTTACAATAGAAACTACTGTTTTCTGATTTTCCATTGGATTTGTGGGAATTTCTCGCTGTTTTCACCAAAATAATTAGGTTATAATTGAGATCTTCAAGTATTTCCTAACAGAGTGTTGTTGCACTGTGCTCTAAGTTTGGCTGATAATTTAAAGGGAGCGCTGCGACATTGGGTCTCTAGGTGTTGCGGCGCTAGCTTTAAGTATTTTATAAATATTAAAATCTACTCAAATTTTCAAACGTACAAACCATTTCCACCCTTACGTAGTCAGTCGGAGAGAGGAGAAGAATTTTTAGAGAAATAAAGTTTGTATCGGGTGATTTCATCCATTGGGGCAGTTTGACAAATTGTCCGGGTCGAGATAGGTTATATTTTGTCTATCTTGATTTTTAATAATTTGAAGTTTTCTGAATTTTTCTGATGTTTTGTTTGGAATTTTGATGTAAAATTAGGTATAACAGTATATTTGGAAAACTTTCACTGCGTAACTTTTAGTATGTTGTAGTTGACAATATTTTGAATCATAAGATAATTTATTTATAAATTTTCACAAGATAATTTTAAAAATACACCGTTTGAATGATCTGAAAAAATAATCTGACGCTTATAAAGTGTTGTAGTTTGATAAAAGTTCTAAAATTTAGCTATGACAATGTGTGGTAATTTGATGAATTTCTGAAAAACATTAATTTTTACATATGGCTTTTCCTCGAATTTCTAATTGTTTGACAGTTAGAAGGACACTCTGTGATATCCTGTGATGACTCTGACACCGTGTACTATCTTTGAAAATAAGCTTATATGTGTTTATATTTTTAAAATGTATGATTATGGATGAATTCTAATAAGTAGGTGAAGTTCTGATGTGCTATCTTATGGGAGTCATAATGGCCTAAAATTTTTTAATACCTGATGTGCTAAACATTAGGAGTTATAAAGGCCTATTTTTTGAGATGCTAATATGGGGAGTCATAAGGGCCTGAATTCTGATACTTGTTATGAGGTATAAGAGTCTGAACTCTTAAATATGTTTGGAGGTATAAGCGTCTATAGAAAATTCTGTTTGTTTTAAAATATGAATATGAAGTGTTGGCAGTTCTATTTCTTTACTATTATGTATCACTACTGTTCTACCATTTAATTTAGTATTAAAGATATTGTTTACTTCTCTATAGATATGTATGTATCATGAACAATCTGATTGGACCTTTGTACAAATGAATTAACTTTACCTTAATATTTCTGCTTGATTATTAGAAATTCGGTAAGTTGAATGTAGCTTATTGAGTTGTGATTGTTCATGCTTGTTTTCTGTATTTGTTTCGAGTCGGGATAAAGGAAAAGGGCTGGCTGACTAGGGGAAGTTCCCAAATTTGAGATGTGTCTACTAGGTATGTGTGGTTAGATTTTTGACATTCATGACTTTTGTATTATGTTCTGTGATGTCAGTGTCATTTACGGTTTGTATAAAAATTATTTGATTGTAAACAGTTCTGAGATGAATGAAGAAGCTTTTGATGATGAGTATTCGTATGTTTTAATTTACGTTTAGTGGCTCTATAGTCTGTAAATTATTTGAAATTTCTAAAATTCTCTCCAATTTGATCCTGGAGATTTAGTCCTGCCACGATCCAACATGGTATGACTAGTTTTGTCAATGAGTTATATCGGATCGGGTTATGACATTTTGTAACCATGTTGTTATTGTGCTATGTTATTTGGTTCAAAATAACATCACTATGCTCAAAATGTACAAATTGCTATACATGTCATTTTACGATGCATGTGAAGCATATGCTCTCCATCACACATTTCCCGCACAACCTAAGAATCCCATATTGTGATATGCTAGGCTTTTGCAAAACAAAATAGCTGAAAAGCATCACCAAAAGAAGCTTTGCCTTTTAAGTACGGAAGTCATAATATTCCATCTACTATGAGTCACATTGTTTCAGGTTTCTATCCTCATCCTCTCAGTCTCATTTGGTTACAGCCTAGCACTCCAGGAAGCAATGATTGAGCTCTAACCACTTTAAAGAATAAAAAATGAAGAACAACAAGCGAAATCTCTTGGATTATCAAGCGGTAGCATTAGCTTAAGGGAACCATAAATAAAAACTTCCATCATAATCATACAGAAATGCATCACTGCCCGTGCCACTCTACATTCTCAAGTCCATCCCCTGATATCTCCTAACGCCTCCACCCAACATAGTATTTACCAAGCAAGCATTCATGATTACAACATCCATCCCGATCATACTTTATCGATGGAAGATCTCTAGCAGCAAAATAAGCGATCGATTTCAACACAAACAAGGCAGATTCGAAGAAAATAATTAGTAACATAGACACCATAGCAATTGAGAGTATAAAGCAAGATTAGATGGCATTTCCTCACTTCCCTCAACAAACCCCATGATCTAATATTGCAAATAGAAGAAAGAAATCAAGACAAGATGAAAAATCTAACCGATGATCATCCCTATGGTTACCAGAGTAAGCAACCCCAGGATGAACTTGCTCCGACCCATCCTCGGCCCTCTTCCTTCCGTCTATTGCCTCTTTTTTCCCACAGGAATCCCTTCTCCAGATTTGGCGAGGATGAAAGTAAAGAGATGAAAATTCAACGGAGATATAGAATGGAGAGGCGCTCGCTGATGGTACGTGAAACGGCAACCAAAATTACCTTTGAAGGACTTTAACGGTGTGGAAAAACCTCTTTGCGTTCATCAAGGGTTTGGCGTTATATAATGCGGAATTTATTTAATGGGGAATTGGAGGTTACATAAACATTCTGGACTGACATGCGCAACATTCGAAATTTAACGATTATTTTTATTTACAATATTTTCTTCCAATTTTTTGAAGAGTACTAAAATTTTAACTTATATTTTAGTGATTCATTAAATCCTAAAGATTTAATATTGGCAAGTGTAAATAAGTTTAATATTTAAAAATTTTTCATTTCTCAAAAGTTAAATTTAGGTGATATATGTGTAATTTTTTAATATTTTTTAGCATGAACTCATTCATTAATTTGAAATGAAAAATAATAATTTAATTTAATAGAAATTAATTTTCCAATTAAATTAATTTGACAAATAAAATTAACTATATTATGATAATTGCTTTGAATAGATTTATGCAAATTATAAGAGCATAAGCGTTTATTTGACATCTTAGCTCGAAAGTAAAAGCATAATTTTTTTTTTTCAACCGAATAACCTCATAAAAGGGAAAATAGTATGGTCAAGCACAGCATAAAAAATAATTATGTTGGATGATGATAGAGTTTATCATCTTATCATTGAACAAAAATCTAGCACACATACATATAGATGAGTTGGCATCAACTCTCAAGAGAATATATTTAATGTGAAATTTTAAAGTAAGGAAAATTAATAGGACTTAGGCTTCGTTTGGGACGGCTTTTTTACTGCTTTCTAAAACGGAGTTTTAATACAAAAATAAAAATAAAAAAGCCGTCCCAAACGGAACCTTAGTCAAGTTAGAAATATTTTCATTATTGCAAATTAATGATTTGTTACAAATGGTGCCCTTTCATGTAGCTAAATAAGACAATAACATAATGTAATAGGTATGAGTTGTGAAACATATCTCATGTGATAGCAGTTTGAAGAGTTTTGAGATGTTTGAGTTATCAACATACTATAGTTGACAACCAATTTAGTTGTTCTTTTTATAATATGGGAGATCGAGAGGCTACTATAATGGACCTCAGATGTCAAAGGCTAATGAACATTAATGTTAGTGAGCATCAAGCAACGGATAATGAGGAACATCAAAAGTCAGACAATAATCAATGATCGGCTCACAATCTCCTAATCAAAGGGGGGATCAAGCATTTAAAAAGATAGGCGTCGTTGGATGGTACATGTTAGACATTTATGGTCAATGGGTGATAAAAGAATGTTTGAAGTCATAGTTAGTGGTCAACATGAACGCTCTCTTGATAGCGGGGGTAACATGTGATAAGGAAGAAAAATATCATGCATCATTAGTTTATTGGCATCAAACATCTATGAGAGTCAGCCAATAGGGAATGCTGGAAATCCGACAAAGATTAATTCTCTTATATGATAAGAGATAAGATAAATAGGAGGCCATATTTTTGATGTCGATCACTAACATATATTATATGTTAATTATCGATAGGCGTCAAGCGATGGTCAACTAAAAATGTAAACAATTAGTTATAGCCAACAATCAGCTTTATTATTCTTATGATATAAGGGGGGGTTGATAGATTAATAAGACATGCATCAAATATTAGCAAGTGATAGAAATTATACACTAATTAGCACTGAGCAAAAAAATATTAGAAGCTAGCAACAATTGATTGTCTTCTTGTCCATTCTCTTCATAAGAAGAATAAACAAGTAAGTATCATACACTAGTAGCTGAAAGGCGTCGAATGTTAGTATTTGATAGGTGACGTGCTTTGTCACAACTCAGGATTTATTGTGAAATATTTTCTTTTCTATTCATTTTCTACTCTTTATTATCTTATCAATTATATTATTCATTTATCATCCATATCAATTTCTCCATAGCTGAATAATTGCATTAAAGACAAAAAAATAGAAAACATAATTCACTTTACTATAACCCATAATTACATCATACTGCTAGAGTACTTCAAAATAATATATAGAATAGTCACACTAGCTACACAAATACATAAATCAAAAGCTAAAATAAAAATTACACTTGCATCACTCACAACCTCATGCTAGGTGCTACCTACCTGAAATCATTTAAACTATTTAATGAGCATGAAAGCCCATCAAGTAATCAAAATCTTATAACTGAAATCAATGTAATATAAAAAATAATAACATGTTATAAATCATATGAAGAAAACTATGAATCAATATATGATATATATACTTATTACCTATATCAATCAATCATTCTGTCTTGATCATATAATTAGTTTCATTCAGTCATATCATTCAATTATTTTTGTCAGTCTATTAGTTATACAATATTGTCAGTATCTGTAGTCAGCAACAATAAGATTATATATATATATATATATATAAGTGGTCGAGCACTGCAGCGCAGTATGTCAAATCCAGAATTATTATAGAACAGGCTCAAGCACTGCAACGGCATTTTCTGGCGTTGTTGTGCTCTTAAACTAGCACTGTAGCACTCACAAGTATAACATCAAATATGTACAGGTCAAACAAAAATTCAAAAATTCATATTTTAAAATACTTTTTTATTTTTGGACTGTTACATGTCGGACAAAATGAGCATGGGCTAATGGTTTGCTTCGTTGCTCTCCTCATAATAAGGTAGTTCAAACAACAACAAATGAATACATTAGACATCGATTATCAATATACTTCAAACATCCTTTTTGAGTAAGTGTTGAACAACTTTCGATATGAAACATATGAAAATGTTAGACTACCATCAAATATGAGTTTATCATTCTCTTTGTAAGATGAGAGTTCAATTGATCGATCATTATGGCTTGCTTAAAAGTCGATAACTATAAAGCATTAATTAGATGTTTGTTAGTGTCAAATGACAAAAGTTAGGAGTCAAATTTATTGTGTATCAAACTATTTATGGTGGTTGAGAGATGGAGATTAATCTCTTATGATTGTACAAAGATCCAACATATACAAAGAAAAAAGAGGATCATAAAAGATGCTATAATTTTTTATTTGAAAAATGAAAAATTATAGCACCGGTAATAAATAATGATCCTCCTTATAATTAGAGAATATTTTGATATAATATCATAGACATTAACTATGGTGAGCATTAAGAGCCTTTGAGTGCCATTGATCTTCCTAGGGTCAACCTCAAAGAGAAAGATGTACGTACTTATGACTAGTGTTAGAAGAATTCACGAGAGAATTAGCTCGAAAGGAATTTTTCAGAGTGGTGATGATTAAAGGAGCATGCCATGAATAAAGTGTAGATGATCATCATGGACATTATAAATTTCATGGATAGCAATTAAAGAGGATACAAATCCATACTCTTTAAATTTAGATAAAATCTATCCCCACAAATTCTCCCTATAAGAAATGACAATAGTTTGAGTTGAAGATTGCAGAGGCCTTTAAATGAATAATTAAGGTTACATTTCACCCCCTATAATGCTCATTAGACCCTTCAATGTAATTTTTTTTTATTTAAATATTCACCATCTTATATAAAATTTTAATTTGCAATTAATTTTATACTCTTCTTATTATAATTGATGCCATCTCTATTTTTTTAACTGCTCATCTATTTTTAATTAGAAAAATACTGGGCACAAAATTTTTTTTTTTAAGCAGATGGACTATTGGATTTACAATTCTATTTGAAAAAATTTAACAAACAACAATTTAAAAGAAAGATTATTGTTGCATGTCGAAACATTCATGGTTATAGAGATATTTAAAGTTTGATATTTTAGTTTTGTACGGAGATTCATCACACACATTGATAAAGAAATGGGTGCAAGAGTCATAAGACACTTTGATTTTTTTTAAGTAAAATTTTTTGAAAAGGGGGAAAAAATTATGGGACCTTGTCCAATTGAAATAATTTCACTAGTGTTTATCATTGATTAGAAATGATGCCCTTCCTCGAGGAAAGGAGTTGGCACATTGCAGTCGCTCTGTTGTCCACCGACTATAGTCCCTCAATCGCCCACCGATTATAATCCATCCGACCACCTTCGCCCGACTACAATAATTCCATTTACCGTCGTCGCCCGATTACGATGCTTCTGACCTCCATCACCCACCAACTATGATCCCTCCGATCACCATCATCCAACTACGGTCCTTCCAACTTCCATCAACTACGATTCTTTTGACCATCATAATCCAACTACAGCCCTACCAGCAAAAAAATAGCAAAACACTCACCTGAGAATAGCCCTTGCAACATTAGTTTCTTCCAACCCCAAGCATATTTAGTTTGTTATATAATTAACTACATTGAGCCAACGCCTTCCCCTGAAAAAACGCATCTTTTATAATCAACTACATCATTAGTGAATTCATTCAAAATGGACGAGGCCCTGAGATCTTTCCTCTTTTTAGAAATTTCTAAGTATAAACTCAATTCTCTTCTGAATGATGCAGTACGCTCTTATCTGTGTGCTTGAATTTTGTATAAAATTAGAACATTAAATTTTCTCTCTACCATCACAAATTTTCTTAAACGCAATGATAACATATGAACTATCATGAACACAAACTAAATGTTCTGATATTAGAAACGGTTTGTTACAACTTTCTTGCACCATCAGTTTTCAAACCACCACAATTTCATTATAGCACTATTTTCTTTTTAAAATTTTCTATAATAAAAATATGTTTATTAAAATCAAAATAATTAAGAATTCATTTAAGACAATTTTATTACTACTTTATGGAAGTTGAAAATATAACTTCTTAAATTTATTGAACAAAATAATTTTTTAATACAATTTTTTTTCAAAATCATAAAAAATAGCTAACTAAAAATTATAATTATGATATGAAAAAAATAAAAAAATTATCCCAAAAT